TCTCATTCCACCATTAGACTTTTCTTTTTAGTATTGGTTTTTTCCTTTCCTCTTTCCATGCTTCCCTCAGCTTCTTCTCAAGTATTCCGTACATTTCTTCTAATGTTTCTCCTTCTATTTTATAGATTCCTTAATTTCTTTTACTTTTTTTGCCTTCTATTTCTCTTATTTTAACCTTATGTCTCATTCTATTAACTCTCTATAACTTACCTTTTAGTGTCAAATTGACCCAGCTATGGTCTCTAATTTTCGGCGTGTGCTGCACTCAAAGTTTCACTCCCCCATTCCAAAGGTAAGTCAATCATTGATTTACTTTTTTCTGCAATTCTAGTGAATTCCCTCACCATCTGAGTCAAACACAGTTCTTTTTCCACCTGTTTTAGCAACTTTGTGTCCCATTCTTTCTGCTCGTCCAACCTTACATTAAAGTTTTCCATAGTTATACCTTTTCCCCCTATTGCTACTTCTTTACCTATGCATCCCTCAAACCATTCTCTAAACTTCTTATCGCTACTTGCTGGCAATCTAAACACACCCCCATTACTCACTTTCTTCCCACCAATTATCATTTTCAAGTTAATCGCCTACCATTCTCTAACCACTTCTTCCTCACATATTTCCACATTTTTATTTATTAGATAATTACTCCTCCAGTATGCGAGCTATGAGAGTCACATAGACACATGTTGTATCCATCTATTCTTAATTCACCCTCTCAAGTTTTCCCAGTGATGTGTGTCTCCACTACACAAAGTATACCTGTATTTTGCTCTTCAATTATTTTCTTTATTTCATCCATTTTTTCATAAAGGCCCCCCCCCCCCACATTGATGCATTTAATTTTTATTTCCCCCATCCTGAGCTTCCTGTTTTTTTCCATACCTGTTTTTGTTGTTACTCTCGCCCTCCCCCATCAATTACCCTCCTTGCTTTCTTTGTCATACTCTCCCTTACCCCTACCTTTAGCTTTCATATTACAATTTATTTGTGCCCCCTCCCTTTTTTCACCTTATTTTCCCTTCTGTACCTTTCTCCCCTTGTTGTTATCTATACACACACTTATTTTCGTCGTAGTTGACACCTCTCTTTTCCCCTCTACCCTATTCCTCCATTTATAACCCTTTTCGCCTACTTTCATACCCCTATTTTAGGGTGTTTCTTATTTTTTAAATTTTCGAATTCGAAGGAGGTCCTGGTCTTAAAAGGTGATGTGTGGATACATTAGAAGCCTCGTACAAGGAAAAAAATTTAAAAACATTTTTACCTGGTGCTCAAACGACTTAAGTGACACAGGTTGAAATTTGAGATTTTTAGACAAAATAACACTGTTTTCCCATGGAAAACGTCGAGTTTTGGTCCTAGAACCCGAAAATTTCGTCCGTTTGGTCGTATCTGCAACACAAAAGCCGCAAAACACCCCAGAAAGGCGCGCGCAGCGAGAGAATAGGAGCAAAATGGGCGCGCCGCGCCGCGCCATAGCGCAACGCGCGCGCGTCCTCTGCACTGCCTAAGCGACAGGCTGCACGCACGCACTGAGCTTACGCGGACCCGAAAGTTCCCGTCCGTTGCAATGTATCATTGCGAATTGACTTGGACACACTTTAACATTAAAAACAGTTGAAATGTATAAATACATCAAAAAGACAATTTTTCTTTGTAAAATATTGGCTATATGTAGGAAAATCAATTTCAACAAATTAAACAGTTCAAAGTCAATAAACTAAATCAAATAATCCACAGTTTACTTAAAGGCTTAGAGTCTTAAAATGGTTCACAGACTATTTTTATTATTTTTGTATGGTTTTATTGACTTTGGCTGTGACTTGTAAGAGATCATGAAAATAATTGTCTTCGAATGTGACCCTAGACATTCGTTAAATTGTACGTTTTGGCGGACAGATGGATTCGGCAACCCTACATTGTGTCTCATGTTGTGAACAAAGACTCTCTTAGTGTTCGATGTAAGTATCTCATCAAATAATGCCAAGGGAACCAAATTTTTACTACAGAGGTACCAACCGTGGCTGGGTAAATTACGGAGCACGACACTACCTGCTGTAGGTACTCTCGTTAAAGCTGCGAAACTTCTTGAGGTCTGCGATGACCTCTGGGTCCTTTTTTCGGGGCCCCAATATGACATATGTGCTCCTCAATTTGTACCTACGCTGAAGAATGCCCGGTAAGTCCAGGCTTCTCTCCAACCAACATTCTAGCGTTTTTTTTCAATATCATGGATTTGCCATTTTCATTTCTAGACTCTTGCCCAGCCCCATGGCTATTTACTTCCGAATATCTTGAGGTAAAAAAAAGTAGTTAAGTCATAAAAGTTGTTAATGATCATGCTGAGCGCAAAATTAAAGTGATGTCCACGCCCAAAAGGAGGATAGGTAACATCGGAAGGTAATGGAGATCTTGCATGTGTTGGGAGTTAGTGATTTAAATACTGATTATTACGCACAATTCCGCGAGAAACACGATGGTTTTATCAGTTTCCTCCGAGACAATTTCCAAAACTGAAAAAAAGCTCTGAAAGTTGATGCCGTAATGGAGGGGATATCCCACGCTCTCGTGAGAGTCCACCTCTGTATCAAGTCAAACTCTCCATGCAAAGAGCGAATAATATACATTGACAGGGTAGCCACTTTGTTTGCGGTTTCCAAACCTAAAAACACGTGTTTCCAGTTTTGACCGCATTCCTGCCGATTCACTTCGACCGTGTGAGTCGGCAATCACCCGACTCGGTTTGTGACGTTGCAGACTTCTGTCATACCTAAGTACTTTATTTTTTAAACGGAAAACTACTCAACGGCAATTCTTTAAAACTTCCGTGATTTTTCTTCCATGTGAGAAGAAAAGTCTGAATAAACTTCAAGGAATGGTGTCAGTTTGTTCTTCTTTTGGGTCTGTTCAGAGAATTTCAACCCAAAATTTGAACATGCGTAAAGTTTCTGCAAAGTGGATTCCCAAGTTGTTAACCCAAGCGCAAAAAGAAAAGCGCGTTTCCATCTGCCAACAGCCGCTGGACCGCTCAAATGCTGATGCAGATCTTTTATGTAAAATTGTCACCGGTGATGAAACTTTAAAATTCCCGGAACAGACCCAAAAGAAATATTCAGTTCCACTAGAAGCTCACGAATGGTCAAACGGCCGTCGGTTTGCACTTTTTCGCGAACTTGATTCACGTGAATCTCGTCAGTTGACGTCCTGGGCTTGACTCCATGAACCTCATCTTCCACCGATTCCTGACCGTTTTTAAATCTCTTAAACCATTCGTAACACTGAGTCCGACTTAAACACTTATCACCATAAACTCTCGTTAACAGTGCAAAAGTTTTGGAAAACGTTTTACCCAACTTAGAACAAAATTTAATGTTACACCGTTGTTCTAAAAGCTCACGCGTTTCTCAAAATCGCAACACGCACTTGAACACACCTGAATCAAACGGCTGTAAAATTCGAACTAGTTAAGATAATTGCAGGGTGGCCAAAAGTTTAGAGTATTGAAATTCCCTGACTTTCCCTGACTTTTCCCTGACCTTTCATGAGAAATTCCCTGACTTTTTGACTCGAGAAAATTTGCTTTGCGCGCTTGCTCAAGAGGTAAAACAGCAGAAAAACCAGAGTTTGGACATTAACAGCTCTTACCTTCTCATGGTTGTACCAAACTTACACTTCCCATCCCTCCACAAAGCAATTAAATCAGTGAGAGTGAAGGCACACCAACTCGGAAAAATGAAAATGTTCAGGGGCCATTAAGAACTGCATTGTGGGTGGCGAAGTTAGTCTGGAAAAAATCTTTCGGGTGGGACAAAAACTTATTGACATTTTGAAAGGTAGAGATAAAATAGATGAGCCACCCTTGATGCCATTTATGAAGATAGAGCAACTTTAATGAAAGCTGAGCATTTTAAAGTTAGCGAGGTGGTGTGTTTACAGTCAGAGTCATTCGATTTACGTTTAAGCCTACCTAGAAGGTAAGTTGTGTAAAACCTTGATTATGAAGGCTTAAGAGAAACCATGAAGTTTTTTTGAGTATTTAGTATTCTTAAAGGTATTTCAAAACTCATAAGCTGCCACATTTGAAAGATGTGAGACGGCAAGTGTAGGTACCTACTTACCATTCATAGGATTCCTATCCTCAAATGTCTAATTAAAAAATCACAGGGACATACTTAAAAAATTCTGAAAAAAGTATTTTTGACAAATTTTTGCTGACTGTGTAAAAATTTTCAGCAAATCCAGAGCAGTCATTTGCGGAAAGCTTCCCTATTAGACTTGTAGTTGTATCCTACCTCAGTATTTAAAACTGATTATTAAAATTTGAACATAAAAATATGATTGGAGTATTTATAGCATTTACAGGCTTTCAAAAATTTTCATTACCTGCAAAATGAGATCAATTAAGAACAAGTAATTCAACTACTGTTTTTCAGATAATGTAATAATTTATTTAGGAAAATTCAAAAATGAAGGAAAAAATTAAATACAAGAAAAAAAAATAAAATATCAAAAACGAAAATAGTCGCTATGTTGAGTCATAATTCATGAAATAATGAGCATAGGAATAAAGTATGAAGCAAAGTGATAATAACAACATTGGTAAAGTCAGAGACTCAAAGAATCACAATTCATATAAATAAAATAATGACATTTAGAGGAAGGGTACACATCAAAATAAGTGAGAATGGAAAATATTAGGACGGTAATGAAAAGTTACTATCAGATAATTCAGCCACGATGCTCTCGAAATCATCACTATCTGAACCTGCAAAATCTAACCAACTATTTCCTATCACCTTCATCAATTCATTTTATTTTAAGCCAAAGACCAACAATGCATTTACTTGAAACATCTTTTTCGTTTTTCTCCTGCGTATATCTCAAATTTGCTAGATATTTCAAGTAAATATGCTGGCTGGTTTCCTTTGCAATATTAGTAGGTTGAAGGGGATACTGGAACAGACACAAGGTAGTGAGTGATACTAGATTGACGACAAGGATTTTGAAGGCTTAGAAATGAGCAATTTTATATTGTGTACTTGCAATACTGACAGTGAACAACAAACGAATAACTCAGTCAAATAAATAAGTGAAGTGAATTTTCTTTTGGTTAAAGAAACCATTACAAACTATGGGTATTACTAACTTGAAAGTGAAAATGCCTAATTACCATCAGAGCACAAACAAATTGGAAGTTTTATGACTCTGCACAATATTTTAAATATATTAAATCAACAAAAAAAGGTTAGTACCTTCTGAAAAAAAGACAGTCACGATTGACTAGTATTTTAAAGTAGCAAAATGTGTTACATACTAAAAGGTAACAAAGGTTTCTTAAAACTAATGAGAACAAATCTTATAATTTAATTGGGAACATAGAATGCGTTTAAAGGTTTCTGCGTTACCATAAGATAAATAAATCAGGCAAAGTACCACTAGAGGTACTTGACAAGATGTACACATGTACATGATTTACATGTACTTTACAAGAGACTTGCTTTTTCAACAAAAAAAATAAGTAAATAAATAAAACCTTGTAAAGAGATCTTTACAGGCACAACGGCGACTAATGGACTGCTGCTTCTATCAGAAATGGAAAACTCAACAATTAGTCTAACTGTTTCGACTTTAAGATTTGGAGTTTCTCTTCAAGAGCATTTAACTCTTCAATTCTTCCCCTTTTTTCAGATGAAAGCTTCTCAATTTCAGCTTTTCTTTTTTTACTTTGTAGAGAATTTTGGATTTGTGAATCAACCAAATTCTTTTGATTCTTTAAAGCTTTCAAATATTCACTGGAGGAATTTTTGTGATACATTATCATTGTTTTATTGATGTCAAAAGAAGTTAAATCTTCACACTTTACAGCGTCATATACTTGCCTTAGACCCACTAAAGATTTTTCAGTTAGGTTTTCAATAAGGCATTCCTTGTTCACAGAGAAACCCCTCTCAAGGGCAGCATTTCCATGGCCAAGTATCAAAATTGATTTAAAAAATGCACTTAAATCTTTTAATTTAGAGGAGGGGTTACATTTATCATAGGTCCCAATCATTTTTTTGATCCAGAAATGGTCGAGGCGCTCCTTACCTTCGCCTTTAAAGGATGATATAAGCTCTTCATACCTTGGGAAGGAACATAATCTACCAAATTCTCTTGTTAATGTGTCTGCCAATAAGGGTGAGATCCTCTTTTTGTCCATGAATTCATCAATACAAGTGTTAAATCTGTGATCTCGAGACGATATACTTTTACATACTGTGGGATCTAGGAACGAAATGCCCCTTGTTAATCTAAATTTTAGGGGGCTCTTTTCCACAATTTTTGTGCACGATGCAACTAGTGCTTTCTTGCATTCTTCTCTGAAAAGAAGGATGTCATTGTCTTTCACACTATTATTAGCCCTAATTTCAGCGAGAGCCCTTTTGGTCGACGGACTCAGTATAATTTTATTAGCTGCAAGGAGGTTTTCCTGTTTTTTCAGGTCAATTTTGGTTATAGAATCAGCTTCTTTAATCACTGATGGTTTTACAAATTTCATTAAAAGTTCTTGCAAGAGCCTGTGCAAGTGCCTTTATAGGAACGGTGCTAATGGCCAATCTGACTGGAATCTAGTGAGGAATTCCTTAAACTCTGAGGAATAACTGAGGAAAAAACATAATTTTGGCTTTAGAAGAGGATCCTTAACAAATTGTTTGACACTTTTATAACTGTCACTGTCCGGCTCGTTTTTGTCATTTTCAACACCTTTTATAAAAGCTCTAATATGCGGTAAGGTTAGAATAGCCGTAGAGGCAACTTCCGTATTCTCTAGCCACCTTACAGAACAGTGCTTTTTGGGAAAAATTTCACTACCGGAATATTGGGTATACAGTCCTTTTCGGGTGGGCTTGTCTTTAAACAAATAATAAGAGTTAGAAAAATACGATGTCAGCTTCCAGTTTGTTGCCTTAATACCAACTTTAAAAGAATTGTTTAACACATGCAATCCACAGGTACCAATAAATAATAACATTTTGGCGAGAGGGTTCTTCTCTAAAATAAGATTTTCGAAATCTTTAAGAAATTTTATGTTTACATTAGGCCCATCCATTGAAACACTCATTACTTTCTCTAAATTCAATGACTCAATAACAGAAATTAGACCTTCTAATAAATCTATAGCTTTGGCTCCCTGAAGGAAGGCTGATGAATAGTAACTGGTTTTGACTTCATTGGTGTCAGCACACCAATATATAACATTTACATCCATCTGCCCTTTTTGGGCTACTTTATTTAGAGATTCATCGAAACCAATGGTAAACTCAGAACATTTTTGGAGAGTCTTTAGTAAATTATGATGAAAATAGGATGCCAAACCATATACTATTGAATAAGAAATTTTAGTTCTCTGCAGGTGTATTTGTTTTGCAATATTTGAATCCGGATACTTGATCGGATCAAGTGATACAATAGATCCCGCACTTTGATAAGATACATGGTTCTTAACAACGTTCAAACAAGTGAGTATTTCTGCTTTGGCTACAAGTTCTTTGGAAACATAAAGATTCATAGGTCCTATGGAACTAGTATTATTTGATGGGACAGAAACAGATGATGCCTCTTTTGATGTGACAGAAACAGATGATGCCTCTTTTGATGTGACAGAAACAGATGATGTTTCACCGGAACCCGTGCTAGAATCTCTGACAGTTTCTTTCGTGCTATAGGACACAGGTTTACAGTAATTTGACAATGAGTTTGACAGGGTTTGCGCACTAACTGCACTTACATGTCGTTTTCCTTTAGCATGACTTAACAATGCTTGCTTGCCCATATTGCTCAGGGAAATGGACGTGTTGCACAAGGAACATCTGGCGTTATGAACACTTGCTGTGTCTGCAACAGCCCAATACAGTGCAGGGTCTAAAGACCAGGATATTTGGTAGCGGGTGTGTTTCGGCTTCATGATTACTGCATTCTGAAAAAAGAAAAGATAATAAAGATAAAGACTACTGCTGGGTTGAGTTCAGTTCAAACAAGACTTCACCTGCCTTTTGATTTTTGCCCCCATCTCAAACGCTAAACAAGAGCTTGTGTTACAAAACTAAATAAAAGAGCGAATGCTGATGCTAGAACTGCTAGGGAGCTCTGATTTTTGATGGCGGAGAAAGGGAGAACATCAAACAGATTCTGTTGTGAATGAGGTCCGTAACTGAGAGAGTTCTGACTTTAAGTACTATGTATTATTGGCATATACAATGTCAATTCTTCACTATACAACGATCTTTATTTGCTTGCACAACAATCAATGTCAAATGAAACTGAAAATTAGAGCCGTCTCCAGAGCCGATTCTACCGTTCCTGGTTGAAGTAAACCCCCTGTCAAAGCAAATCTTTGAATGCTTTTGTCCAAAATTTTAAGAGGTAAACATGGTTGTTTATGGCTTGAATGATACTTTCAGCTATGTTGGGACTAAAGTAATTATCCTTCAGTCAAACTTTAACCAGGTTAAAAAATAACGAAAGGTTGTAAATCCGATGCTCAGTCAGTAGAAGCTTCGATCACAATACTTAACAACTGAAAGAGAGAGTTACCATTTAATATTTGTTGTAATCTAGTCACATTGCTTACTCAACCAAAAGAGCGATGAAAATACAGAGATCTCCGCGGAGATAGATGAGACAAATCTATCAAAATATTCAAAATGCAGCTAGGTAGCAGATGAACTCAGTCATCGCTAATTAATGTGAAACTTCTTTCCTAACGGTTCACTCCGCTCGTGCCATCTCATAAATGATGATACTTAGAAGATGAAAATATTTCACTTACCAAAACTTGCTGCTTGAGTCCATTCTTCGTCGAAGCATTTAGACCGCGGTATGAGTGCGAGATCACGAGAGAAAAAAGTTGAGGTTATGTCACTAAGCACAACAGAACAGTCACAACCAAAACCATAGACGGTCCGCGCATAAGAATTTTTTTGGCGAGACGATAGGTAAGCAACCCGCATTGCACGTATTACCGAGAGAAATCATCAGCGGCAGAAACGACCAATCACATTTCACCAAGCGCCGCTCGCCGATAGCAGCGCCAGTAGCGGAAGTCAGGTGAAACAATCAACAAATAGTTCACTGGAAATGCGCTAGAGAGAGTCATCACAGCCGCACAGCAAACACGAACAACGTAAGCGGAATAAAGTTCCCTGACTTTCTGTCAAAATTCCCTGACATTCCCTGACTTTTCCAGGTCGTTACAAATTCCCTGACAATTCCCGGTTTTCCAGATTTTTGGCCACCCTGTAATTGAAATCCGTAAAAACCAACGTGCTTGTCAGTTTATCAGAAATCGGATAAACCCAAGAAAACGTCGATCCGATCATCTGTTGGCCCACAATGGCCAAAGTTCATCTAATGGATCATACCTCGTATTGCATACGTATTGTCAGTATCAAGGTAGTATTGCATATATACTGTCAGTGTCCTGCAGTGTTCTGATGACCTTGTCATAACCCTGATTTCCATATGATATCAATCTTTCCGGCCAATACTGTGACAATATTTTGACAGCTCCAAATCAATGACTAATAAATACTGACATAGTCTTGATATAATATTAAATCAGGATACATCAGCATTAAATAAATACTGACACTACTGACGTGTCAGTACTATTGTAGTATTATGTCACGCCTAGCCGGGGGCTACGCCCCCTGGACCCCCGGTCACTCGCTACGCGAGTGACATTCCGAGCCGATTTTGTAGTAATTGCAAATTTTTTATCACTATATTTTGAAGATTTCATAGAAAACATTATGAAATTCTCACTCCACAATTAACTTGTAGAATAATAATGGCAGGGCAAGAAATAGACTATATCTTAAAATGGACGGTTCCCACTTAGTAAAAACAGCCAGCACCACGTGAAGGTGAGGAACCATCGTTAGCCACTTTTTTTTTTCTTTACTTTTCTGAAAAAAATTTACTGAAATTTTAGTTGCGTCCCCTAAAAGGAAACACGGAGGAAAAAATTTGTGCATGGAACCCGAAGCTGAGATCATATGGATCTCTGAAGTTTTCGGATCACGCATCCGAAAAGTTGAGGTCCATCTGCCGAAGTTTGGGTCAGACAATTGAAGTAATTCGGTATATACCGAAGGTCTCAGGTCACACATCTGAAGTACTCGGTGCATACCGAAGTGCTTCAGATTTCTGACTCAGAGATTTAGGAAAAACACAGTATAGAGAACCAAGGAAATCACAGTAGAACAGAGAAAAAAATACAGTCGAATAAATAAAGAAAACTATTATCGAAGAAATTCTAATTATTAGAAAGTAATTAGCTGGCGTAATCAATGCGTAGCTGCATAGGAGCATGAGCGAGATTTATCATCAACTGACCGCTGGCCGCTAGGTACCTGGGTGGGCGAGCGACAATACGTAAGCGGTGGCATATGGTTCGATTGACAGAGGAGTGGGGAACAGTCAGACGTAGGGGAAAGGTTCAGGATGAACCGTTCAACACAGCCAGGGACGAGTTCTATAGGACGCCGTTCTGGTGTGAGCGGGTGATTGCAGCGCATTCTCGCGTAGGATCCTAGTCAACTCAGAGGATCCTTCCCCCCGAACCTCGACTCATCCATCGCCCGCTCCAAAAGTGAGGTTAAGCCGGAGATTGAAAAATAACACATAAGGCGGCTGAATTCTTGAAAAATAAGTATATTTTTGGCGTTTTTCGACCCCTTTCGACGAGGAAGGGTCCGCCGCATGTTAGTGTATGGCGAAAAATTCGATTTTTCGCAGTTATACGCGATCCTACGAATTTTAATGAAGTCCAACAACTGATAACAGCAGTGAGTTGCGAGGATCCTACGCGCGATAGCAGCACTAGTACCTGCTCACGAATTTTTACATTGACTCTTACGGGAGTCCAGGGTCCTATAGAACTGATCCCTGACACAGCGCAGCGTCAGTCACCGGGTGGGGAAGAGAGTCCGGGAGGGGACACTTCCCCTCGAGTGAAATAGAAAAAGGCAGAATCGCTGAAAGTCTGAATCCTTCGAAGTTTATATTAATGATGATGATTCTGTGCTAAGTGGGATCTAGACAGAGAAATACATCAAGATAGATACTCCAAAATACCTGAGTGAATCCAATAGTTGACCCATTGTGAGATATTATGATAGGCACAGCATTGAGCTTCTTCATTTTCATGGTGAGGAAAAAGTAGGTCTATTCCTCCACTGTGTATATCAATTTGGGAGCCAAAATATTTGCTGGAAATAAAGATGAATGTACGGTAAATTAATTATTTCTCTATGAAATAAAAAGAACACAACAAAATGAACGATGTTCTCTTTGTGTACTTCTACATTTTCTATTGGCGTGCCTCTAGGATTCAGTCAGAGAATATACTTTTGTACATTCAAGACATCTTTCACGTTTTTTTCATTCAGAACAGAAACGAAAAGTTCTTCAGTTTGAGGAAACAACGAAGGAAATTTTCTCGATGGTATTCACTGTGCACTTCTTCAGTGAGGAAGAAAGGAAATATATTCTTTGCTTTGTTAATTTTCCAAGTTCCATGATGGTAAGACCGAAAATTTTCTTAAATTCGATTCAAACTCGGTTAGTTTATTTACTTTTCAGGAACTTTGGAGAAAAAACAACTTCCGATTCGATGGGTCAGTTGCGCTGGTCATAGAATCGTGTTTTCATGTTTGCTTCTTTTAGATTGGCTGAAAATAATAGATTAGTCCAAACAGTAACTACCTACGTTCAATATTAAGAGAGGTATTGCGCATTGAAAAGTCGGGTTTTTGACGTCATCCACCGCAGTGGTGACACCCTTGGCTTATGCTTGGCTCTCCTTAGTCCTTATGCTGTTAATGTAGAGTTGCATGGTTTTTCTGATGTGTCAATCCGAGCTTACAGTGCTTGTACTTACGTTCATTCGACTGATAAAGACAAAACTTCTCACTGTCAATTATTCATTTCAAAATCCCGCGTGGCTCCTTTGCATTCTACTAGTTTACCAAGATTAGAACTATTATATGCGGGGCATTACTTTTATCACGATTATTATCTCAAGTTTTAAATGCTATGCGGATGCCCTTTTCGGCGATTTTCTTGTGGACTGATTCGACGATCACTCTTGACTGCATTCGTGAACGTCCAAATCGTTGGAAAACTTTTGTAGCGAATAGAGTGGCTGAAATGCAGTTGAATACTAAAAATGCTCATTGGCGTCATGTATCATCAGATCAAAATCCTGCTGATTTAATTTCTCGTGGGGTTCGGTCTTCGACTTTAATGAACTCAAATTTATGGTGGCATGGACCAGAAATGTTACATAACCCGGGTATTTTCCAACACTGTCATCAAGATATTCGGTATGATGATTTGTCTACTGAAGTGTAGTCTTCTTGTACTTCACAACTAATTTCGGTTAATCCCTTTGACTTCTTTGAAAAATACTCTTCCCTTTCTCAGCTGATAAGAGTTTTTGCATATGTTCAACGGTTTATTTTCAATTTCAAGTCTAAAAACAAGCTATGTAGAAAGATTGGAGAATTAACAGCAGCTGAATGCGACAGTTCTTTAAATAAATTGAATAAAATTGCCCAATCGTAAGTATTTTGGCATGACATTTCAGATCTGCCTTCTGGTGCTTTACACAAAAAAAGCATACTTTTAGCATTAAATCCCTTCCTTGATGAAACTGGAGTTTTAAGGGTCAATGGTCGTTTACGTAATGCAAAAATTTTTTACGCACAAAAATTTCCTACAGTATTATCAAATAGACATAAATTGACAAACTTAATTTTGAAACATGAACATTCTGTTCGACTATTGCTTCCAGGCCCTCAAGCTTTGCTGGCTTCAATACGTCAACGGTTCTGGCCTTTAAAAGGAAGATCTGAAGCTTATTTCACCGTACGCAATTGTTTCATATGTAGAGTTGTTCGCCCTAAACTTCTGACCCAAATTATGGCACCATTGCCATCTCACCGAGTACCTGAGCTGCGACCTGTCAAAATTTGAAGAGTCGATTTTTGTGGTCCTATTTTTCTAAAACCATACTCTAAGAGTAAAGAAAGAGTGAAATCATATGTTTCATTATTCGTTTGCTTTGCAACAAAGACAATTTATTGTGAATCAGTAAGTAATTTATCTGCAAATGATTTTATTGCCGCTTTAAGAAGGTTTATTTCCAGAAGAGGGATCCCCTCAGATATCTACTCAGATAATTCCAAAACCTTTATTCGCACTAATAAAGAATTGCACGGTATGTTGTCCTCGCTTTCTAATGATGAAACATTTCAGCATGTTCTATCTGGTAACTCTATATATTGGCATTTTATTCCACCAAGAGCTCCTCAATTGGGGGATTATACGAGGCTGCAATTAAATCACTAAAATTCCACCTGAAAAGAGTTACAGGAAATTTTGTTTTCACTCGTGAAGAATTCCAAACAACGTTGCTTGCACAAGTAGAGGCTTGTTTGAATTCTCGTCCCCCAACAGCTATGAGTGATGATCCAAATAATTTAACACCTCTCACTCCCGCTCATTTTTTAATCGGACAAGAATTGACCGCACCTCCGTTCCACACTTCAAGGTCCAACATTGAGTCTGTCAAATTAAATGATCGTTGGACATTATTACAAAATAGATTTAGGCAGTTTTGGATTAGATGGGAGACGGAATATTTATTTGAGTTGCGACGACGTTCCAAATGGAAGTATCCTCAAGCTGATTTAAAACCAGGTACACTTGTGTTAATTCAAAATTCTAGTTCTAATTTTTTACCGGCCTGCTGGATTTTTGGACAGGTGAATAATTTATTTTACGGCAAGGATGGACACATCAGAGTTGCTGAACTTTTCAATAGTAATGGTGACATAACCAGACCGATTTGTAAGTCTGCACCGTTATTAAGTCCCTGAAAGATTCTGTTGAATCCCTTGCAGGGTTCAAGGGGCGCGGTATGTTAAGGAATGTAATTTCCATGGTTACCATCTTTCTATCTTCTCTCTGTATATTGATTGATCTTGTCTCCGCTTTCCTTCATGCCGGTTTACTTCCTGTACCTATTTACTTAATTATTATTTCAATTGCGGCGTATTATAAAGTAAGAATTGTTCTGTGCTCTTCTGTATTATTAAATGTTTCGTTCAGTTTGATTGGTTCTTCAAATACTTCATTTCTAAGGTTCATTCTGTCACTTTTCTTTTATTCTTGTTTTCTGCCTAACCTCTAATCTTTGTGAGAAAATGCTCAACAGCCACAACAATCGTTTAAACAAAATAGTCAGAAAACGTACCTGCTCAAGAATTTCTCACAAAAAAATTTGACAAATTCATCAAAACACTCTCTCCAACATCCTACAAAAATCACTCTCTCTAAGCGCAAAGTTGATTAAAAGGAGGTTGGTACATTCAGCCATATTGATGACGTACAAGTGGGACCTCGATCTGGCGCGCAGTTCAAAATGCTTGTTTTGATATGCTATGTGTGGTGTTCCAGAGCACCCGTCTTCGTATCTTTTTCTCGGAAACGGCCGAGAATTGAGCTTCGGACGAAAATTTTCAGCGGGAAATTGACCGCAAAGAATTCAGTAAAATTATTTTCAGCCCCCCGAAACCCCATTTTAGGGAGATGTTAAGAGGGGTACCCGGTACCCCCCCCCTCTCCCCGTTTCTCGCATATATTTCAAATAGGTAGGATATGTTTTAACTTTGGATTCAAAGTTTATGGCCAAAAACAAGAACTTTGTGCTCTATATGCACTTTCTTCTTGAGTCCCCATTATTTGGAGTTACGGGGAATTTTGGGGCCTTTCTTGCGCTAATTTCAATTGGAGACTGTATGTGCCAAAATTATCCGATTTTCAAAATTTAAAAGTCTCCTAAGAGAAGATATCAATACCTTTTTGTTGATGTGCCACATGACTCCTGTTAACCCAAAATTATGGGGACCACGATCCCCGAAAATTTTGCGGCTTTGGAGAAAAGAAGCAATTTAAAATATCTTGATAATAATAAAACACATTCGAAAATATGTTTCGAATGTGTTCATTTCATGTATATTTTCATATTCTGTTACAATAAATAATGTGTGCACGAGAAATTGTTATCAATAGCATCAGTCTGCTTGCGCGCAACTTGCACCAGACGTCTAAATTCAAACTTTGCGCTACTCGAGGTCCCACTAGTACGTCATCAACATGGCGCCGAAATGGGTGATTGTACCAACCTCCTTTTAATCAACCTTGTTCTTAGCGGCCACAAAATATCTAAAAAAGCCAAAGCATTTAAAATTTCCGATAAAAAAATTAGACGGCTCTTGTGCCAACTCAGACAGTGAAAAAGCAGAGGTGCTAGCCGATCATTTTAAAGCAGCTTTTAAACCACGCACCAACATTGAGATACTCTCATCATATTCTGACTCAGAGGAAGTATCCACTTAACAGCTCAGTCTCAAGACCACAAATACAGGGGGAGATGTCGACATTGAAACCTCGTAAAAACGTCAAGAAAACTCCGCTAGTTAAAATCAAAACCATTTCTCCTTCAGAACTCTCTAAAGAAATAAAAGGGAAAATGAAATTTCAAATAGCACTTGGATTTGACAAAATCTAAGGCTTAATTTTAATAAATCTTTCCGGAGAAGCATTAATGAAGTCGGTCTCCATTTTTAATGCTGTTTTGCGCTATAAATACATTCCAGCGCAATGGAAAATTGCCAAAATTTTTGTTCTATTAAAACCAGACAAACCACCAGCCGATGCAGCCTCATATAGGCCAATATTTCTCTTGCCTGTCATATGAAAACTATTTGAAAAACTTTATATTAAACGCTTAAATGAAAAAGTAAAACATAAAAATTTAATTATTGATGCTCAATTTGCATTCAGAGCACAACATTCCACTGTGGACAAACTTCACAGGGTCACAAAATGTATTGAGGATGTCCTCGAAAGAAAGGAATATTGTGAGGCGGTTTTTCTTGACGATGCGCAGGCATTTCATCTTGTTTGGTATGGGCGTCTCGTCGAAAAGCTTTATAACATGCTGCCTAGTATTCATGTGAAACTCCTGTAATCTTTCCTTACGGACTGACAGTCCCGCGTACGCTATGAAAATGCAGTTTCCAGCATGAGACATATAAGGGCAGGGGTTCCGCAGGGTTCTTGTCTTTCTCCTCTTCTATACTCCCTTTTCACCACAGACATCCCACAGTCTGGGAGGGGGAAATAGTTGAGCATTTATGCAGACGACACTCTAGTGTTAGCATCAAAGCTACAGGGAGGCACGGCACAATGCACAGTCACACTTAAACAAAATAAACAAATGGACTCAAAAAGACAAAACTAAACTTAACGCGTATAAATCGGTTGAAGTTGTTATCACTAATAGACTGTTTACCCACATTCCCTTACTTATAGGGGGAGTTCAGATCCCTAAGGATACTATCGCTAAATATATTGGCCTCCAACTGGATTCCAGGCTCAGATGGGGCGCTCACATTAAGAAAAGTTAGCTCACATTAAAAAAAAAAAGGTCGCTCAACTGCGACTGAAATTCTTAAATATGCAGTGGCTCTTGGGGCGCAAATCTCGACTTTCCCTGAGACTAAAGCGGCTTCTCTACAAGTCAATGTTGAGGCCGGTTTGCAGTTACGGTTGCCAATGGGGTTGTTGCACGCATTTTTTTAACTCAGTTTTTACAAGTTGAAGGTAGGCTGATTATTAAAGTATTTTTCTAAAAATTGTCTGATGGTTGGAACATGCAGTAAAAGCTTCGAAAGTTCAGAAACGATTTGAAACGAGGTTTCTTCCCGCGCCTCGAAATCACGTGACTCTGACGTCACAATGCACGGCCATAGGTGTTTGCTATCTACCTAAACTACGGACCTACTAATATGACTTTTTTAAAAAATCAGGAAAAGTAGAGTTTTCCGACTAAACTTTTTTTATCTTGATGGATACCTGAAGATAAGATTAATCAATTACCGACTAGGTTTTTGGCTCTTCACAACGACTTCTGGGTCGAAAAGTGAGTTAAAAGCCACCCCTTCCCCGTTTTCTTCACGGAGCGAAGGAGCCGTTCGGCGGTGAGCGGAGGGCGGTGCACAGCAGCTCGTCCTCCTCGGATTTTCCGGCAGCGTCGTAGCCAATCGGAGCTCGAGATGAACTTAACCTAACCTGACCTCCACAAGATAGACACGCGGTCAAAATGAGGGTAATGGCGGCGAGGAGAGACTCCCATGCGTTGTGACGCATGCTTTGACCAACAGTACAGCAGCCAATGACAATCGTTCATTTTCAACTTGAATTTGATGGAACTTTAATGTAGTCCAGTCAATAGAGCACGTATAGGGGCTAAGTAGAGACAATTTCTGAGGAAACTTTCTGATAAATTATTCCTATGTATCTTTGGTCGCTGAATCCGAATTTCACATTTGCGAAAAGATCTGAGGCGAGCCAAAGCCGCCATCTTGAAAAAATGGCCGAACTTTGCGTTTTTCGGGCAAAAAACCGAAATAACGTGTATATTATGGAAATTACGGCAAAAAGAGTTCTTTTCAAAATTAAAGTTCATAAAATTTTCATTCAAACGAGCCCAAGATCGTTAAGATCGGATGATAACAAATGCCGTTACAGCGTTGCAAAGTTTCAGGCAAATATTGAGGTTAGGCAATTTTCGTAACTTTCCCTGCGAAAAGAGAGCTTTCAAGGCAATTAATCGTTAAATCGTAGAAAAGTGTAAGTATGAATGATAAAAGGAGTGCAATTTTGAGCTCTTGACTTTCAAGAACGGCAGCGGATAAGGGGGGGGGAGGTCCGTATGAGCGCAGCTGCAGGGTCCTCCGTTCCTCCCCCATTTTCATAGCTCGGGTGCGGCCAGTCGGCCTTGGTTCTCTGGGATAGAAGTGCAACTTGAGTTTTCAACGACGTTGTTCCAATGAACCCTCTCTTATTATTTCGGCGCAAAACTGTTAATAAAAAATCAAATGAGGGACTTCAACATTTTTTGTCAAACTCTCACCCTATACCCTTTTGTTGACCTTAGCAGATGCATAATAGCATGCGTATTAAAGGAACAGTGTCCACATTATATTATGTGTTTTTACGTTTACACCGCGTGTAGATGAAATTGATGACAAGAATCCTACTTATGTCATAGATGTCCGTTTTTTGCTCCATCGAGTGATTTGGAGACAAAATGAGGCATTTTCATCAAGATGCAACAACTATGTGTCCTACGTAAAATCGAAGTATGTTCCGCTAATTCTTTGATCGTTCTCATCCAAGGATATCCCAAGGATATTACAAGATGCAGCAAGAAAACTCTTGGAAGATGGCGAAGAGGACAAGTCTCATCAATGGAAATAAAATTCCATGAAACTATGGTCCCAGGGTGGCCCAATTATACACAGCAAAATTTATTTTGCGAATTTTTTTGGTCTTACCCCCTAGAACTGTTCCATTTGATCAAAAAACACCCTATGCCAAGTTTCAGCCTAAGTGGATAATATTAACCCGTGCCGACAGAGCCATCTTTTTTATATGGGATTTTACATTTAAAAACACTTTTTTCCAGAAAAATCCATTTTTCGAAAAATGTGTAATTTCTAGAAAAAATCTGAGGTCATATTCGGCTTCAGCAGGAAAAATTGAGTGGGAAGTCATGTACTGGACACTTCAAAAAAATTTTTTACCCCTCGTCATAGCGGCGAAACAACTAAAACACCTAGAAAACGCTAAAAAAGGATAAAATGACGGTGATAAGTCCGAAATTATTACGTACGCCTCACAGTGCAGTGTCCTTATGGGCGGATGGGAAATAATTCATATCTGATCGAATAATGCATGGAATTCAATGAAATTTTGACAGTGTTGAGTATTCATCATGTACTTGCTCGTATTAAAGTCAAAGTTTCCAAAATTCCCCAAATGATTGAATATAGTGTTGCCAATGTGCCGTTATTTTCCCACTTAGTTTAATGACATAAGTATATTACTTTTGTGGGAAAAAGAGAGAAAACCAACCTGAAATCACAACTAATAAGGCTTACGAGGGTATCTGGCCCTCTCACGACCCCTCCATTTCAAATACAGTGTTGCCAACGGGCCTGGAAAAAGCAGTTTTTTTAGCAATAATTCAAGGATTAAAATGTATAGATTCACGCAAGCTCACTCCAAAAATCGACTGTATGCTTACAGATACAACGATGCATATTTTACTTTTTAACTCTGAACCTAGCAAGGCTAAGGTCTATCCTTTCTTTCATTCCGAATTTAAATGCTGCGTGAAATGAAAGCTAAAAAATTCAAATATACATAATAAAATAATGAGGTTTCCGAGGATCAGCATGAGAAAAAGGAAAAAAACTTGGATTCGGTCATATTACAAGTCTATAATAAAAAGGAAAAGGCACTTCAAAAAATAAAAAATTCAGCACGGTAAATCATCACCGAAAATCAACAGCAAAATTAAACTTCACAAGAGACAAGAGAAAAAAGAAAGATAAAAACAAAAAATCCTTAAAAAATACAAAAAATCCATAAAAAATACAAAAAATTTTGTCCAATTTTCGTCCAAGACACGTTGGTTTGCGGATTGTTCTCGGAGTTTCCCCTCAATTGTTGTAACTCACTCCTCCTTCGATATCCGTGTCCATAAGTCGAAGAGATCAGAGTTTTTCAGAGCAAGACCTCGAGACAGGAAAAACGATATAACTTTATTATTCGCAGCCAGACGCAGATGGGACTTTAAAATTCAGAATCTACAGGAAATTTGCAATCATTATCACTTGTCAGGAAAAAAGGTTATTCTAGGTTTTTCTTAAAAACGTCTTTAGAATTTAAGTAAGAGGGAAGAATATGAATTTAGAGTACCATCGAAAAACGTGCTTAAAAGTAATGTATAGAAGTTGAAAAAATAATTTTTACGATACAATCTTAATGAAATAACTTACTAGGAGTGTTTGTAGCCATTTTTATCACCAACTGGACATTTGATACCGTGTCAATCAGCCTTGATCACTGCTATCACAACACTTGCGCGTCATCGTCTACCGGTCACCGCGCGCGGAGCTTAAATCTCATCACTTCCTCTCACGCCAATTCGATGCAAATCAGTAAACGAACATTGAAAATGATACCACCAATTTCCCCTTTTTTCGTATATCTCATTACTTTTTTCATTTTATACGTTTGAAAATTTGACTTATTTCCATTGGCACTGCACTGTGCGCCTGCATCCGAAAACAAAGCTCAACTTATGGAAGGTGATTCCTACGTACTTTAATACGCTGAGTCTGAAAATGCTATCCATTTTTCTCTATTCCATCAGGATTTTCCGGAATATCAATTTTCTTGTATAAAAAAAGGGTTTTCCGGGGAAAACTCAATTTAAAGGAAATAAACCTCAACATATGACGGATGTTTTTAATGTGTTTTTCAACGCTGAGTCCGAAAATTATGTCAAAGTTGCTCCATTACATCGGACTTTTCCGGAAAACCGATTTTCTTGTGTAAAAAGAGGGTTTCCCGGGGAAAACTCAAGTTTCAGGAAATAAACCTCAACATGTGACGGATGTGTTATATGTGTTTTTTAACGCTGAGTCCGAAAATGAAGTCAAAGTTGCTCCATTACATCGAGATTTTCCGGAAAATCGATTTTCTCGTAGAAAAGGGTTTTCGGGGAAAACTTAATTGTTAGGAAATGAACGATCGACTTGTAATAGAGGTTTTTGATGTGTTGTTTAACGGTGAACTCGAAAATCATAACCGTTTCCCTTTATTCCACTAGGAGTTTCTGAGGAACTACATTTTTCCCGTAAAAAAGGTGATTTTCCAGGGAAAACTCGGTAAATCGATTTTCCGGAAGATCTCAATGTTAGGGAGCAACTTTGACATAATTTTCGGACTCAGCGTTGAAATACACCTTAAAAACATCCGTCACATGTTGAGGTTTATTTCCTAAAAATTGAGTTTTCCCCGGAAAACCCTCTTTTTATACAAGAAAATTGATTTTCCGGAAAATCCTGATGGAATAGAGAAAAAGGGATAGCATTTTCGGACTCAGCGTAAATAAGTACATAGGAATCACCTACCATAAGTTGAACTTTTTTTTTGGATGCAGACGTACGTAATTATTTCGAATTAATCACCGTCATTATATCCTTTTTTAGCGTTTTCTAGGTGTTTCAGTTGTTTCGCCGCTATAACGAGGGGTAAACATTTTTTTTTTTGAAGTGTCCGATACATGATTTCCCACTCAATTTTTCCTGCCAAAGCCGAATATGACCTCAGATTTTTCCTAGAAATTACACATTTTTCGAAAAATGGATTTTTCTAGAAAAATGTGTTTTTCAATGTTTTAAAATCTCATATAAAAAAGATGGCTCTGTCGGCACGGGTTAATATTGTCGATTTGGCTGAAACTTGGCAGAGAGTGTTTTTTGATCAAATGGAACAAATCTAGGGGGTAAGACCAAAAAAATTCCGACATTGCCTTTGGGCCACCTTAGGTCCCAGTAAAATCACAAGCAAATTTTCTGAAAAACGGCAAAAACAAATCTCGTTTGATCCAAAGGCTCATGAAACGTTTCAGGGCGGAAACCATGTCTGTGTTTCAAGCTGAAGAAGTCACTGACACAATCATAGTTTCAAAGGCCTTGGAAATGGCAAAACAAGGCGGCATTGCTGTCATTGTAGGAAAATATATTGACCTTTCTCGTCCTCCTTACAGTTCCGTGATGTATTGTCAAAAATGATTTTCTTCCAAAATCCGGCAAAGATGAGACTCCTTAAATACCTTTCAACCGAGGCAGCCTCCAAAATGATTTGAAAGCCTAACACATACTGTTCATTCGTGCCATTATTGGGTGTAACACAACATCATCACTCTTCAGGCAAGTCAAAATTGAGATTTTAGCAACCCTGAAGAACACCTCAGCTTTAATAAGTAAATCAGCTCAGATGCTTAAAAAATCAGCCTCAAAGCAAGAAGAAATCACTAAAGCAGGAAAATAATTTTTACTCCGATTATATGACTTCAAGGGTGAGCAGAAAAAACTTTGGCTGAATTTAGGTATGAAATCTATGTTCAGACTTTTTTCCACAATGTACAAAATCTCGCTTGTCTTCCACCTTCAAAGGATGCTGCCACATTTCATGCTCCTATCCTCAAGTACGTAGCAATGGATGAGCATCAAGAAATACGCGTGTAACTGGGGGTGAAAGAATAGCAGAAATGGCTTCATCCCCATCATTACCTTGAAAAATCCCGCAACGGGCAAAATTTTAAGCAAGATCTCAAGCAGGTACATTGAAGAAAGTCGCGGCGCCCGCGGTTTTTGGAAGAAAGGCCTTCATTGCAGTCTTCTATGGCTCGTGTGAAAATAGTCAATATGACGCACTTTTAATGGAAGAAGAAGGAGATGATGTAGATGATCCAGAAGACGCTGAATGTTCAGGCAATGACTATGACATGCGGAGAAGTGAAGAGATTGACGAGTGGCTGGAACAAGAGGCAATGCGGCGCAGAGGGAGCCATGACACGGTGTGTATGCATTATGAAGTGTGGTACGCAAGTCATCTGCTGCGGTAAATAGCGAGAGTGGATAGGGTGGAAGTTCGTGCGACTAAAAATGTTGAAGCTCCTCATCTGATTTTTTAATAATAAGTATGCGCTGAAATAATAAATGAGGGTATATTGGAACAACATCGTTTTCAACTCAAATTAAACTCCTCATACTGCTGATTGGATTACAGCGGTCGGCGCGCGTAAACTTAACGGACTCAAAAGTTTGACCCACTATATTTTTGACATAAGCTAGCAGTGCCTGTCTCTTTGGCTTGGTGGCAACTATTTTTGTCATCAGCGAATATACCTTTACGGAGGCACATCAAGATTTTGTCCTCCGGAAAAGGCGCCTGTGGAGGACAGAAAAACTAATAACCAGAGAACCAAGGCCGACTGGCCGCACCCGAGCCATGAAAATGGGGGAGGAACGGAGGACCCTGCAGCTGCGCTCATACGGACCTCCCCCCCCCCTTATCCGCTGCCGTTCTTGAAAGTCAAGAACTCAAAATCGCACTCCTTTCATCATGCATAATTACACTTATCTACGATTTAACGATTAATTGCCATGAAAGCTCTCTTTTCGCGGGGAGGGTTACGAAAATTGCCTAACCTCAATATTTGCCTGAAACTTTGCAACGCTGTAACGGCATTTGTTATCATCCGATCTTGACGATCTTGGGCTCGTTTGAATGGAAATTTTATGCACTTTAATTTTGAAAATTTGGCCGAAAAACACAAATTTCAGCCATTTTTTCAAGATGGCGGCTTTAGCTCGCCTCAGATCTTTTCGCAAATATGAAATTTGGATTCAGCAATCAAGAACACATAGGAATAGTTTATCAGAAAGTTTCCTCAGAAATTGTCTATACTTTACCCCCCTATTGACTGGACTACTGGGCTTTTTCGGGCTTTAGGACTCGGTTCTTGACTTTTTGAACGTTACCATAGTTTTTACCGCGAAAATTTCTATGACTACATATTTTTTTATTCTTAAATCCCTCACCCATGCAACAACCCCATTGAAGGGTTCTGCAGCCAAGACAAATCTAGATAAAATTGAAGAAATGCGGATGAAAATCCTGCGCAGCATTTTTAAAGCAAAATGGTAAAAGAGAAACGCAGATATTCGCGGTGACCTCGACATTGACTCAGTGGAGAATTACATCACCAAGATGTACTCTGCATACGACATAAGAAAGCATCGTCTTTCCAACCAAGAAGCGCTTGCGCTCCTGGAATGGGACCGATGCGGTCGCAGGCTGAAGAGACGTCAACCCTGTGAGCTTGGAATTCAAGGTTTCACAAAATTTTTCCCTTAAAACAAATGTGCCTCCCCGTATCTTCGGACGGATTAGGGGCTCCTTGGTCTTTGACCGGTGATGGTCGACTGCAGTCTTAAATAATACAAAAGACGTTGAAAGTAAAAACAAAAAGACATACTTAATAGTAATAACTTTGTATCTTTACCTTCCTCTTCAATTCATAGAGGCAGTAAGATAAAATGTGTATAAATAATAGTTAAGTTTTTTGCAGATAAATTAAGCTTTAAAAGACATTATCATACGTCTATAAGTGTTTATTGTAAAATGTTATATTTTCTTGTGCCACCCTCCCTCCCCCCAAAAAAAAAAATTATTTCGTGACTGCAGAGTTTCTCCGGACATACACATAGTTTAAACCTTGAGCTCACAATGTCGAACGTTATCTCAACGGTTTCCGACCTTTCTTGTGATGCATATAAAACCGTCTACGGTGCGAAAGAGAGGCATCATGACACAACCGAACATACTTGAGAACTGTTTGAGATCAAAGCGCTGATCATTCAAATTGAAACGGCGGAACAGAAATAAATGAAAACATTTTTCATGATGGACCTTCAGCTAGAGATTCTGGATGAAGATGATTTTTAAGTGTCCACTAGACACCCCATTAAAGAGGAAATTTAAGAAGAACTGCGAGGCGAGTTCCTGAAAATTAACGTCATAGTATCTGCAGCATATAAGGAACTGGAAAATATAACGACTGCCCCGCTCGTACAATACTATTTGGACGATCTGGAGACACGTCCAAAAGATTCCAATACTGTGTACGGCGTGCAGAAAGTAGTCAACGGTAATTTGCTGATCGGTGACCGTGCCATCAATTTCTATTCGGACGGAAGTTTAATCTTGGACGGTGATGAGGCAGAGGTGTTCAAACCGACACCCGGGCTATTGGAACTAATCTTAATACAATACCTGGGCAATTACACCGTATATGATCGCGAGAAATTCCAACGAGTTGTTACACTCACCAATTTGCATCGATATGATATTCATTCACGAAGAATACCCGAGTCGAACCGCAGTCATTAATACTACGATCTCCTGAAATCCCTGTCCGCTACATCAACTCCAAGATCGATCGGAAAGAGACCACGGAACTTCGGTAAAAAATTGAAGAAAGAATTCTGAGTTAAAATTAATCGTGCGGAACGGGAACTCATCTACTGAGATGATCCTAACGAACTAATCCAACCTTTCGTCCTCCTTCTAGCCTCAAAACAGGACGGTCACGACGATCACGATCAAGAAATTTTGAGTAGCGTGGAAGAGCTCCGGGCTCCATCACTTAATATATTTGAATCAGTGAGAACGAAAACAAACCAACTCGAAAAAATGAAAATAATCAAGACAGGCACAGAACTGCACAGAAGGTGAAGATGTTAGTCTAAGAAAAATATTTCTAGTGCCAAAGGACAAGTACTTAAGGATACTTTACAGATGCAAGTTGGAACAAATGCTGTCGCGTATACCGCAACGCGTTTATTCATAGAGGTTCTCTATCTCCCTTTCTCCCATATTTTCGGTCTCTCTCTATGAATTTTCAAAACCTAGCATCGAGCAAGCTTCACTTACTCGTTGCTATGATCACGTCGTACGCATCTATCTTTATTATATTTTTTTATTACCAGCGTCACGAGATGGATTGAAAGATAAGACTCTCTAAGACCGAGCTCCTCTTTGAACAAAAGGAGCCGGGCCACTTCGATTTCGACCTTCCACCACGGAGTCCTGCACTTCGGATTTCTTACCAACTAGCACCGCCATCCATTGTGCTCCGATAGTCAGTCTTTTAATCTTTTGTAACGATTCCATCTTCTTGAAAATACATGCGAATTCCTACGTCACCCAGTAACTCTATCGTCTTTTTTTCATTGCTCTCCCACAGCTAATTTTACCGCCACGGTGAGGATTATTTTAGATGTTTCAGTCCGTCTAAAGCCCAACTAAATCCTTCACCGCGACAAATGCGCTAACTTAAATGCTCTTTAAAGAAATTGACTGTCTTTGATGAAAATTGAGCATTTTCAGGTTACCGTTGTTATCGTTCTGGTTGATTCAGTTTAGGCACGATGAGTCACACCGACGCGACGGGTTCGGAAGCCGTATACGCTCGAAATTCGAATGAAAAACCCAAACGTGACGATTTCTCACTGGATTCGGGCGGGAACTATCTCGTATCGAATACACGGATCCGTCTGATCCAAGATCTTGAGGAGAAGAACGGCGCCGAGGATAAATAGTGGGCGGACTCGAGTGGATGGAGGCTATGAGTTTAGGACAACTTCGCATGGAGGATATCGACCGATGTAAGGAGATCCTTAAAAACGTCAAGTCGGAACGATTGCTGCATCAAAATAACATGCAACGACTCGATACGAAATTATCACTACTCGAAAACAGGATCAAACAATTAGAGGTTTCGTCGTCGGCTGCGGAGCGAACTCCAGGAAAATAGAAATGAAAGTTACGATGAGCCTTACGATGAATATTTCATAATCGACAAATTGAAGGGGAAACATACACTACTCCGTTAAATACCCCACAGATTGAAGGAGCAACATTCAATGCTCAAATTTTTCTGCACAATTTCACAGCATCACCCTACCCATATTTCATATTTTAATGCACAACTTCATAGAATAGCCCGCCCCACCAACTCTATTTTTAACAATTTGTTGCTTAATTTTACAACACTACCCACCCCGCAAATTCCAATCGGCAATTTTTGGAAGAATTTAGCTGAAAACTTTTGACGTATGACCACCGTTTTCATACTACTAAGGCTGCCGAAACAGATACTTGATTGGGTTTCTCCTGAAAGAAGAAGGGGCTACCTACTGCCTATAGGGGGGCGACAAGGGATTTGCAAGAAATGAAGGAGTGTCAACTCCCTAACGGCCTACGGGAGGATAGGGTACTAGGGTGGTTCAGTGTCGCAGACTGCTAGGGAGCACTCTAAAAACGGCTCATATGTGTGTAAATGCAGAGGAAAAATAATGACAACACCAACGCTTAGATTCTCATGAACAGCATTGTAGTATAACAATACAATCGCATACTGGGCATATTGTTTTCAGGACGTGTGACCTCAATACCCATCTTCTTCCCATCCTCCTACTTTGTGACTCTCCAGCCAGTAAAAACTGTTTCTGCCAATTAACTATCTTAGGCAACCAGCGTGGGATACATTGCATCCTCAAAGTGTCATCAGGCAACCTTGTGCCAGTGGTTAAGGGTCGCTCAGGAATAATTTCCTTAGACTATGCAATTCGTGGCAAATGATATATCACGAGGAAAATACAATAAAATTGAATACCCCCCCCCCCACCGTAGAAGTGCCACTTTCTTTTTTATCAAAATGCGCACAATGGATTTCACATACACTGCCCCAATTTAATGAGAAAAATGCTCCCTTCTATCTGACCCACATCAATTGCCATAGATTCGTTCCTGAGAAGGACTTTTCTGCTGTACAGCTACCTAGCAACATATTATCAGGACGTTGATATTATGGCGTGTGGCCAATGTAAATGTTGATCACCTGGCCATTACAGAGCATTCAATATGCCAGCCTGGTCTTCCACAGCCCCAAGGAGTTTCCCAAAAGGGCTCATTTGGTTTCATGCCTTTCCACAGAGCGAAATCTAAGGGATGCTTTTTGTGCGGGCTATTTGGTTCCGATAAATTTTCCTCTGGGGTCCAATATAATTTTCCATAACATCCATATTTCTGTGTATCAAAATAAACTGATCCTGGAAATAAAAAGAAAATGTGAAAATTAGATACTTGTTGTGGAAATTATTGATTTAATTTGAAAGCCCCTGGATTTCCTGTAATCAATAGGAGAGCAGTGTGGCTAAAGCCAAATCTAGCCGATTAAAAGTCTTTCTACTCATTGAAGGGACTGCAATATGTCTTAAATCACATTCATTTTTTTATTTTTTATTTTTGTCTTTTACTATTTTGACTTTTTTTCCGAGATACTTTCGAAGAAAAAACTAAATTAGACTGAACATTTTGAAATTTCGCAACCGAGAGACATCGATTCCAAATTTCCTACTCCGCATCACTGGCATGTGAGAAAACCTATGGGTTAAGTGGAAACATTCACCCAACACCGCCATTTTTTGAGGAGAGGTGGGTGAAAAGTTGATCTACTAAACTAAATGAATCTGAATGAATCTAAAATGAAATCTGAAAAATCTCTACTCCAATTTGCTAACTGGTACTCCCTTTTACTTACAATCACTAGCTATTGCTGACCATCATCAATTTTGGTGTATAGTTTTTTTTTTTTTTTTTTTTTTTTTTTTTTTTTTTTTTTTTTTTTTTTTTTTGATGCGGGGCAAAGGTGAAATTAAACATCTGTTTATGATATTACGACTTTGACTTCCCGCAGAATTGCAGGAACATTTCATGCAGGAGTCTTTCATTAAAATGGAGGAGAATGGGGGGGAGGGGGGGGTTAAACGGTCATTAAAAGGCCTTATTCAAAAGCGGTCATTTCCAACCTCCCCCTGATCTTCGAAATACTTTCGGGGTCCATAGAGGATCACTTCCTAGGTCCAAAACACTGACGATTTTTGAAATCAAACAATTATGGATAGAGGGGAAGGGGGGTCAAAGTTAAAACTTTAAACTTGCATACCTTGTGAACGATTTGTCATTAAGAGATGATCTTAGTCTAAAAATTTAGAGAAATCCGTCAGTTTTTAGACGATAATGATAAAATTGTTCCATTTAGAAAATTTCATCAATTGCTGCCACGTTGCCATGGCTCAAATTTTCAATTTCTTACATTTTTAGCTGGGGCGGTACCTTTTTAGGTCACTCCTAGACAAAATCACTCGTCAAAAATGACAAGATCAGGATAAATGATTAATCTGTAATAGAAATAGGGGAATCAAAGTTTTCGATCATAAAAAAAATTATGTTTACCTTCAACGGTTCTCTGGGTAGAAATAAGAAGAAAAAAGAGGAATTGTTAAGAAAAGCGTGCCATTTGAGCTTTTTAAAAATGTTAAGTCCATCCTAGAGAAACGATTAGAAACAGATTCATGATTTTCTTAAAGTTGATGCGGCGAGCGTCAGCTGAGGCTAGTTCTGTAACATTCATATGTCACGATATTTTGTACTTTTTAAATAATTTGTTTAGGGAACGAGCTAATGGGGTATAAAAAGTATGACCTCGCAATTTGTGATCGATTTGGGGGCATGGGTGATCTTGGGACTCGGAACAAACCAGGTCCCAGTGTACCGCATCCACTTCGAAAAATCTTGTCTCTCCTCCAACTTATTTCCCCAGGATGAACTTGTGCTTGTTTTAAAGCTTAAATGGTCTACTTCCACCACAAAATATTTTTGTTACGTTTTGTGCGATACCCTCAACGTCACAGCTGAAAATGTGAAAGTTTGAAAATTTGAGCTATGGCGACGTGGCAGCAATGGATGACATTTTCATAATGGACCATTCTTTTAAACATTGCCTGAAAGTAAGTGGTTTTCTCTAAATTTTGAGACCAAGATCATCTCTCTACAACAAACCATTAGCGAGAAATGCGAGTTTAAATTTTTTGCTTTGATTCCCCTCCCCCTTCTTCCGTGATTGTCCAATTTCAAAAATCGTCAGTGTTTTGGGCTCGAAAAGTAATCCTCTATAAAGTCTGAAAATATTTCGAAGATCAAGCCAAGATTGAAAATTACCGATTTTGAATGAGGTCCTTTCTTCCTTGCTCTGGTCACAAAACGAGAGGCGAGTGAGGATAGGAATCGATGCGCAATACGTCATTACAAATCTTTTTTTACATTCCAAAGAACCTAAAACGTGAATTCTGACGGTGAATGAGAGAATTTGTTTGTTTGTGTTTCATGTGCGTCTGTGTTAGTGACTATGCGCTCACGGAGGAACGAGTGCGTTTTCAGATGAGCGTTATTAGGCAACGCGCCGCGCCGCGCCGTCGCTAAGTAGTCACCAGAGACTCTGCGGGAAACTAAATTCGTCGATAGAACGTCAATGTAGAAGTTGTATCCCACTTTCTTGAACCTTCGGTGTGACGATTTATCAAATTCTTGCTTCTTTGGCTTTTCGGAACGATTTTTCTCAACAGTTTGGCAACGCAGGAAAAAGTCGACTTAACATTTTTTGTTCATTTTTTTGCGTCCTTTCCAAAAACGTGCACGGTTTTTAGTTTAAATGGTGTCCGGACTTTTTGGCGCGACCATTTCGGCGCGGGATCGTTCGGCGCACGCTCTATACTTTTTAGAATACAAGAAGGGATTGCTTACCTCATTTTTCAGAACGATTTCCTGTCAGAATATTCCGGAGAGGAAGACAAAGAAAGTGGAAGTAGTGGGTGTGGTTGACAAAAAAAACCAAGAATTTGCTATATAAATGTTTTAAGATAGTCCAGTCTTGGAAGTTTTTACCCCCCTTTTGCCAGATGAGTGCCAAACAACGATGAGATGGGAGAGGAATGAGAGGGGAAGGAGTAGGGATGAAAGTTCACCAGCTCCGCCCACTAGCTGGACTTAACGGAATAGTAGGCCGTGGAAGTGTAAAAAGTGTATTTAACCCTTGGCACTGAGAAATATATTACTTACTTCTTAAAAATGACTAAAATTAGCTGAGTCCTCAGTAAAGAGCCTTGTCACTAAAAAATAAAGACAAAGCACCTTCCTTAAAACACGTTTCGTTACAAGATAAATGATCAGTGCGACGAGTTCAAAAGTGCCATATTTACTGTCTACTGAAATACACCGAAAAGTCCGTGCGCCGAAAACCCCGAGCGCCGAAAAACCCCGAGCGCCGAAAACCCCCTGTGCTGAAAAGTCCAACGCCGAAAGGTCCGCGAACCGTTTAGATTGAGTTCTACGTGTATAAAATTGAAAAAAAAAAACCCCTGAAAATGGGCTAAAAATGGCAACATTAGACCGTATGGCCCCTTATAATTCGTCGGAGGCCTTTATTTTAAAGGCTAGAAATGGAACGTACGCAAAAAGTACACGGGGATCGCCTGCTGAATGAGTGAGAACGGTCGAAAAAGTTGCCGAAAATACTTGACTATTTTTCAATGCCAGGATCTTGGGTTTGAGGCGCTGCTGCACCTTTGCACGGGCTCCGTTCGGTAAAATATTTGGCACAGAGTTTACCTAGGACTAGTACTTTGAAAAACATGAAACATCCAGAAAAATCCAGGTGGGGCCAGAAAAGTCCCTTAACGATACTCCTCCTTAATTCTAGTGCGAGATTATGACAAAAACACACTAAAATCTCGTCTAATTACCTATCTTCATTTTGAGCGGATCTTAGTCCAGTCAAATTAGAAAAATTAGAGGAAAAAATTCCCATACAAGCGATTTTTGGCTAAAGTTGTTTGTTAGGGTCTAGAGAGGCACAGGCTAAAAGTCCCCATCGATACCCCTTGTGCCTAGCCCCCCAGCCCCCCCAAAGCCCCCCAAAAAGGCTAAAAAATCGGTTTTTCGGCTATAACTCGAGGACGGTTGGAGATAGCGAGTTGCGTATCATTTGGAGAATGTTCCTCATGAAATTCTGCAAAAAAAAGTTTCTTAAGCTTTTTCTTCCCCAGGCACGCCTTGACCCTCAAAATGGCCGCCGCGTATGGGCGTCATAGCGCGCTTCCTCACTGTACGGTACACATAGGTACGCCTCTAGACCGCGCGGCCGAATGTCTCGACCTTCTCACCCCGTCACCCTCTATATATAGCTGAAATTTACATGATATGCAAGTATTATGTACTCTTACCTTGTTTGCTATGCAAAATTCTGTTTTCAGTCAGTAAACTTTGATGCTTCAGCAATAGCCTGAGGGCGATTAATAGCCAGAAAGGAAGGACACGTATTTTGATGACACTGTGATCCTAATTATTGCCCGACATATTTGCGTGGTAATTTTTTTTAAATCATTCGCAGGTCGATTCACGGTTTTTAAAAAGAACGTAAATCAAGGTCGTAGGAGGGGGGGGGGAGAGGAAAAAAAAAGGGAGGAAAGGGCGCGCGGTCTGTTAAGGAATGAAAGAACACTTTATTTATGAGTTACAATTTTAGTAGCGGTTAAATAATAAAATGAAAATGAAGTTAATAAAATTTGAGTGAAAAATTTGAGTGAATTTTTTTTTATTAAATAAAAACGAATGTTGTCCAATGAATCATTTTGTTTCTTTGCAACACATAGTCTTAAGAGAATTTTGCTACCGGACTCGGACATGGAATCGAATGTTAAGCCTTGATCCTTAAATGACACGCAAAATCTTGAATATCTTCATTTTTTCCTTAAAGTGGAGAGTGCCATCTTGCCCTTTCCAAAAATTGCCGAGTTAGTATCACACCCGGAAAATGCATGTAAAAATAGCATATAATCTTTTAGTTTCGGACGGGCGTTTAGGCTTTTAAAAGAGTAAATTTTTGCTTCAAAGTTTTGTCAACCAGGTTTTACAAAAAATATTTCCTTATTTTCTGGAGACAACGTACTTAAAATTATTAAAAAATCGACGTCTCCTCCAACAATCACACAATTTTTGGTTGACTCCAATGATAAGATCAAAGCCGTTTAAACAATCAGTGGGTGTGCATCTCCATCTGGAATTTCATTTTGAAGACCGATGTTCCTGAATTTTTTTTGTGGAATTTCTATCAGTCTTGTTTTGTTTTCGTCATTAAATAAAAACTTTTCCTGGATTAAAGTTACTTTTGTTTCTTCATTAAAAGCAATTTCCATGACCATTGATTTACCGTACCTTTAGGATCTCTCAGCATTTTTTGTTGACGGTGTGTCACTCGAATAACCGTCTAAAATAATGAGGCAATTTGTATCAAAATTCCGATGGACATCGGTTATGTAATTTTCTGTAATCTCCAAACTTTTCTGCTCCCTGGGGCCAGACTGCGCGGTGTAATAGAAATCTACCATCAAGAATGTATTTGCTGTTACTTAATTGGGGCCTTTTTTTCTAGTTTCGGCTCAAAAATGGCGCATAAAGAGGCTTTTTTCGTTTTCATTATTCTATTGGTATCAAACTGGGACTGAGCGTACGGAGATAATTCATACTTAGAGCAATTCACAAGGCCTTCTTGCAACGTCATAAAAATGGAGATGCGTTGAAATAATCGCAATGGATCACATGTAATGTCATTTTCGTGGAGTAAGTGTTACCTGTGTCTGTGTATGAATTTCGGACTATCATTTTAGGTGATAATTTGATTTCGCCAAATTTTTTCTAGAAATTGTTTCTAAGATTCTAAGTCCGACAAGTTCTGAGGTAGATTTATTTTTTAAAATTCTTGATCTATTCGAAATCCGGGAATCAACCTCACACAAATACGTCGGGCAATAATTAGGATCACAGTGTCATCAAAATACGTGTCCTTCCTTTCTGGCTATTAATCGCCTTCAGGCTATTGCTGAAGCATCAAAGTTTACTGACTGAAAACAGAATTTTGCATAGCAAACAAGGTAAGAGTACATAATTATTGTATATCATGTAAATTTCAGCTATATATAGAGGGTGACGGGGTGAGAAGGTCGAGACATTCGGCCGCGCGGTCTAGAGGCGTACCTATGTGTACCGTACAGTGAGGAAGCGCGCTATGACGCCCATACGCGGCGGCCATTTTGAGGGTCAAGGAGTGCCTGGGGAAGAAAAAGCTTAAGAAACTTCTTTTTGCAGAATTTCATGAGGAACATTTTCCAAATGATACGCAACTCGCTATCTCCAACCGTCCTCGAGATATAGCCGAAAAACCGATTTTTTAGCCTTTTTGGGGGGCTTTGGGGGGGCTGGGGGGCTAAGCACAAGGGGTATCGATGGGGAGTTTTAGCCTGTGCCTCTCTAGACCCTAACAAGCAACTTTAGCCAAAAATCGTTTGTGTGGGAATTTTTTCCGCTAATCCGAGATTTTTGATCTAATTTGACTGGACTATATACGGCGTTTGTTTATGACCGCGATTTGCCGCGAAATGCTGTACATCAGCTCAAAATTAAGATAATTGGACGGAACTTTGATGCGTTTTTATCATGATTTCGCGCCGGAACTAAATTTTTACGCCTAAAAGATTAATCTATCAACGACAAAAAATTTCGGTCCAGGTACTGGGGCTCTTGGAGGAGGGATAAAGGGTGCCCATCGTTACAACCCTGACAATGAACGGGTTGCAGACATCTCTTCGCCTCACAATAGAGGGTGTCTAGCGAGCGGTCCGGTCATCGCGGACCGGACTGATGCGTTGCCATTTACGGATTTTAATGCCGTTAAAGTCTCGGGTTTCGTGAAATGGACTGTATTCGCCGTTTTCCGAACGAAACTCAGTAGATCCTTTCGAAAGTTTTTACGGGAATACTTCAAATTTGTAAGAGAGAAGACGATCACACATCTTAATGAATGGTAGAAAGGGAAATTACTGATAGAAAAAAAAAAGATTAATAAAATGTACAGCTGAGGATACTAAAAAATTCGAGATGACTTTCATTTCAGGGAAACACATGTCACGGTAGTAATGCATAGTGCGCTGTTAGGTTTATTAGTAGGTACGTATGGAGATAGACGTTAGAGCATTTCATTGTCATTGCCTGCGATAGCATTAGTGCTGCTCGCCCGGTGATCTCGTGTATTTCGACCTTCTCTCAAAAAGTACAAAAGCCTATCAGTGTGCCTTGTGAGATAGATTCTCCAGCCACGTGGTCCAGTGTGTGACCCGACTGATTAGTTGGTCTTCCTCTTCCCTAGGAACACTCCACAGGACTATCCCTCATTCGTGGATTTTCCGAAAGCACCAGCTAGCGTTGCTTGTCGTGAAATTGAGACATGAAGACCATCCGGAGGGTTTTTTTTCCACAAATAACTGAAAGATCGTTCTAGAAATACAGGGCAGAGTTCCCTACCCAATGAGTTCAACGAGGGCTTGTTAAAATGCTAATGAAATAGGCAACTAGCTCCTACAAATCGTTTCCCCATGTCTTCAATAGTTGTACCTGTGGAAACCAACCCTCGCGATCAGTTTTCTTGGGAAGGCCTTTGTAATAGCAATTTTTGATCACTCTGATGTTTTGCAAATAAAAGACAAATAAAGTTACCGTCTGGTGCAGAATACGCGACTTCTTTCTTCATTAATTCATCAACACAGTTCTGTATTTCCAATATGTGATCTGAAACTCGGGCAATGGTATGTGGAGGCAAAATATTAAGCTTCCGAAGATCCGAAAAAAATTCAAATTCATACAGTTTTGCAAGAGTTTTAAAATTCTCTTTCAGAACGTTTGCCTTCAAAATTATTTTATCATCAATATCAGTTACACCCATTATGTAGTGTACCTTTAGATTAAAAAAATCTTCCAAAATTCGGCGAATAATGTCAAATTTCATGTAGCAACTGAAACAGAAGAAAGCAAAACAATTAAAAAAGCAAAAGTCAGCAACAGCTAACGCTCCCTTCCTGTTGTAATTTGGGATGGATCGTTGTGGAGACATAATTATAACATTAGTTTGAAATTACGATCTTGACCTTTTATTCAGTAAAGTGCACGGCGGAAGATGAGTAACCTGGCAGCACACACGCGTGCGAGCCTCACACACACACACACACACCCACACACACACACACACACACACACACACACTATTAATTTACAGTAATAAGCGCTGCCAACTTTATCTTTCAATGAAGATTGCCAACTTCAACATTTCAACACTTCTCTTCAATCGTAACTTAAAAGTGAGAAGATTTATTTTTAAAAAATTGATTTACATACAGATTGTTATAAAATTATTTCGGACATAGGTAACAGAAATTTAAGACATAGGTAACAGAATGTTATACAATTACTAGGGGGCTACGCCTCCTGGCCGCTACGCGGCCCAACCCCCTGAAGGCGCTGCGCGCCATCAATGGGCCGCTTCGCGGCCCTATTTTTACCCTCCTATCAGTGTTAGTTTTATTTTTCCCCTAAACAATTACGATATGAGGTATACTTTAATTTTAAACTTTACTTAAAATTACTTTAAAATTAAAAGGACGCGTTTTGGAATGACTGATTGATGAAATATTGCTGTAAAACAATGAACAATGATAGTCAGGTAATAATTAAAGTTTCATGAGTTGGGGATCGAACCTACACCGAATTCAAAGTGGACGCATTCGACGTCTTAGACGACTCGGTCACCGCTCGACGTGAGGGTTTGGATGCGAATCTTGTGTAGATAAGTGTAGAGCTGATGCGCAGGCTACACAGCTACTGCGCAACCTCCTCGACCACTGCGCATCCTCCCGCGCATAGCGGTAGCAGTACCGGAGCATTCTATAAACTCACTCACTTTTATAACGTGATTTTAAAAAAACTTGGGTCCTTTTTCCAAAATCTGATTACAGCGGGCTCATCTAGGGTCTATTACCTGTCGATTTACGCAAAAATCATGGAAATCGGCCCGGTAGAACGCTCAAACGAACTATGACAAAAAGTATAAATTTACATTGTTTAAATGGGAGAATTCGCATTTTTACCACATAATATAAAAAAACTTGGGCCATATTTTGAAAATCTGAAAAGAGTTGGCTTATTTAGAGACAATTGCCCGTCGATAACCGCAAAAATCATGAAAATCGGCCCGGTAGAACGCTGGAACTAAGCGTTACCAGTTTCGCAAAATTAGGAGGTCTTGGAGCTTATAGTATAGATTTACGACATGGCTTCTCCTCAATCTGTAGGTAATGAGAAAGTGAGAAAAAGCATTTACAGAAGTTGTGCGTTTTTTAAAAAAAATTGTGAATGAAATATTAGATTGAGAAAATATAATATTAATTTTTGAGGCCAAAACCTTCGACACAGAATTTTAACATTTCATTTGGAACAGGTTTTGTTAGCACATCTGCTATCATTAGTTCACCTGGAATGTAGTTAATGCTTAATTTTTTGTTTTCGATTTGTTCACGGATGAAATGATACCTATTATCGATGTGTTTTGTCCATCTATGATGGACAGGATTTTCAGCAAGAGATACATATGTGAAAACCCAGTTAATTCTTCAAGAAATTTTTTGAGGTAAATTGCTCTTTTAGAAGCATCGGAGAGTGATAAGTACTCCGCTTCACTGCTGGAGAGTGCGACTGTTTGTTGCTTTCTACATTCCCATGATACTGCTGCATTAGAAAGAATAGAAGCATTACCAGAAAGAGATTTTCTTTTTAGGTCATTATTTGCCCAATCAGAATCGGCGAAACCTGTAAGACAGTTTTCTGATTTTTTGCAATTTAAACAGATATGGGCAGAAAATTTAAGATAACGAAGAATGCGTTTGGCTGCAGACCAATGTTGTTGATTAGGTTGCTTTGAAAATTGACTCAGACAGGTAACTGCAAAAGAAATGTCCGGTCGACTGTTAACTGAAAGGTACAATAAAGAACCAATGAGTTGCTGATAGCTTTTTTCTAAGTTAAGATCAGGTGGTAGATTATCAAATTTTGTGTCGATGATTGGAGTAGATATGGGTTTACAATTTGATATATTACATTTATCAAGTAAATTTAAAGTATATTTTTCATGACTTAGTTTAATGGTTTGAGCATTTACATCTCTAGTGACAGTCATGCCAAGACATTGGGATACTTCCTCTAAGTCTTTTAGATTGAAGAATTCAGACAAATTTTTTGTAGGGAATTTTCGTTCTTTTTTATTGTTACTGAAAACAAAAAAATCATCAACAAAAATTGCGACAACAATTAATTCGTCATCATTACGTTTATAGTAAACACATGGTTCATGTTTCGAACATTGATATTTAAGGTTGATGAGGACTGAATTTACTTGAGAATTCCAGGAACGCGATGCTTGCTTCAGGCCATAGACGGCTTTTTTGAGACGAAAAACTTTATTTTGAGGCGCTGCGAGACCTTCAGGTATTTTGACATAAATTGTTTCGCTTAATTCACCGTGAAGAAATGCGTTCATGGCATCTAAGTGATTGATTTTCATATTTAAATCTACGGCTAAAGCGAATAATAATCTTAGTGTGGAGTGTCTTACAACTGGTGAAATAGTTTCTAGGTAGTCAACACCATAGCGTTGTGTACATCCTTTAATTACTAGTCGTTTCTAGGTATTCAACACCATAGCGTTGTGTACATCCTTTAATTACTAGTCTTGCTTTATAAATTTGTTGATTATCACTTGTATATGTTTTTCTTTTAAAAACCCATTTAGTTTCTAGAACCTTTTGGTCTTTTGGTATATTGGTTAATTCCCAAGCTTTGTTTTTGTTGAATGAATTAATTTCACGAATCATTGCTTTAAGCCACAATTCCTTATCGGAGCTCGTTAACGCTTCATGTACAGATTTAGGGACAGAATTGTGTTCATCAGAGGTAGTGTTACTTACAGCTTGAAGTAAGAAGTAGTTATCCGTCCAGGCAGGTTTTTGTTTTGATCTGGTGCTTTCTATTTGATCATTGACAGCAATGACTGTTACATCTTGACTGCTTTCATCTTCGGTGAATAGTTCTGGAATGACTTGAGCAATTTGACTGATATCGGCACTTACATCTGAATTTTCTTCAGGTGTATCAGTTTCAGAGCTTATTTCTTCTTCGCTGGAAGTACCTACTAGAATCTTGAAATGTTTCATTTTCGTTTAAATGTGATGTTCGTTTGTAATTTCTATAAAAGCTGTGGGATTTGTTTCGTTTTCTTGTTCTTTACGTATGTTGTTTTGATCATTTAAATGTGATGATTCATTTGTGAGTGACGATTTAAGTTGGAAAAATTAACCTTCATCAAAGATGACATCACGAGATAGTTCTAGTGATTTGGATTTATTGGGGTCTATAAGTCGATATGCTTTTGTTTCTTCGCATATGCCCACAAAAATCATTTGCTTGCTTTTGGCATCTAATTTGCTTCTTTTGGCTTTCGGGATGTGACTAAAAGCTTTACAACCAAAAATCCTAATATGACTTAAATCAATTTTTCTTTAGGAGTGACTTCTAAGAGGGCTTGAGAGGGCGATCTATTTTTTAGATAGAAAGCATAATTTACTGCTTCTGCCCAGTAAGTAATGTTGATTTAGATTTGCATCTGCTAACATACTTCTGAATTTGTCCATAATAATTCGGTTTGCCCTTTCCGCGACACCGTTTTGTTGAGGAGTACAAGGTGTTGTAGTTTGATGTTTTATACCTTCTGCCTTTAAAAAAGTATGAAATTGCGAGCTGCAATATTCTCTCACATTGTCATCTCGTAAACACTTTATACTAAGATTAGTTTGTTTCTTGAAAAAATGTTTAAATTCTTTAAATTTTGTGAAGACTTCATCTTTGTGTCTTATAATATAAACGAATGTTTTCCTAGTGAAATTGTCTAAAAAAGTGATGAAATACTTCATACCGTTGTGGGATGAGGTTGACATAGGGCCGCAAACATCACTGTGGATTATTCCGAGTTAAGTACTAGCTCGAGAACCACATTTGCTAAAAGGAGCTCTGGAATGTTTCCCCAGAACACATTGTTCACAAGGATTGTAAAGGTTTCCATTAAACTTAACTCCTGTGACCATACCATCTCTCGGCGATTTCATGGAGTGAAAATTTAAATGCCCTAGACGCTTGTGCCATAAATCTACATTTCCACCACTTTTAATTGCTACATTTGTAAGTAAGAAAGTGCTGAAAGAGAGTTTACACCTTGGTCAATGTTTAACTTGTAAATTCCATCAATATAGGATGCGGTTGCCACGACTTCACCGTTTTACGTGAAAGTTTCATCGTGGTAGATGGTGCAACCACTGGGGGTGAAAACAACAGAAAAACCATTCTCAACCAATTTACTTACAGATAGAAGGTTGACTGCTAAATTGGGAATGTACGGGACATTTTTAATGGTTGAAGGCTCATTGTGACCTTGAAGCTGAACTATATAATCACCTTTACCTTTAGATTTTAAGATCTGATTGTTTGCTGTTGTGATACTTTCACTTGAGACATTAGTTTGAAAATTTACAAGATTATTAGCATTATTACACATGTGATTTTGGCTAGCGCCTGAGTCAACAAACCAGTCAGAAGAATTTACATTAATGAACACATGAATTCATCTTGAAGAGGATCGCTGATAGCGGCTACTTGATGAGCTAGATCGAGGCTTTCATGAACGTAAGAGTGAATAGACGAGTGATTTTCTAATCTTACCGAGAATAAGTTTCTTAATAGACGCAATCTACGAGACAAACCAGAACTTTCAAAAGCTTCTTTCAAGTTTTTCCAGGCATCATAAGGAGTAGTACAGTTCCTGATGTGAACGATGCATGCAGGTTCAACCATGAGGGAGATTTTTGCTAGAGCCTTCCGCTGCTCGGCCTTTTTACCATCATCTGCGTACAATGAGGAGTTCTCAGCTACTGCAGGATCGGTGACTATCCATAGGTCGTCCAATTCAAGAAACTTCGACAACTGGAATTTCCATAGGGAGTAATTTTCTTGTCCCTTCAGCTTCTCAAACGACAGTAGCAGGGAGGTGGAGGTAGTCATCCCGATGTATGCTGCACGGAGGTCACGAAACGAGAAGATTCTTGACTAGTGATTGTCAAGATGAGAAGAACACATGACACAAATGGTTGCATAGGCTAATAAATGCCATGTAAAACACCAATGAGGAAATTACGAGTTCCAAGTGAGAAAGAGTTAGATTTGGAGCGTGGTTGTACCACTTAGATTTGGAGTGTGCTAAAGAGAGAAGGTCTGGCACGTCATGTTCTGTCTACAGCCTGATCATTGAAACTTTGTTGACTTGACAAGCCATAGCCCTATCGAAACCATGCAATATATTCCAGTTTAATGTCTTACTCACTATAAACTTTCAATAATCCGCCTGCTAGGCAATGCAGATCAAGTCGGAGAGAACATAGAACTTATATAGTGGCAACAACAGATGCCTTGCCGAACTTGAATGAATAATGGTCTAAATAGACTATTTAAGGACTGTTCGTCATCATGCAACATCCTTCTTTGATCAACATGGTCGTCAAATTTTGATCAAAATGTAGTGCCACCATTCATCATCTCTTGCTAAACTGAGCATTTCCCCCAAGTTTCCGTTTAAAAATAATAGGATGTACCTATCAATTTTAGGACTGATGACTTCTGAAACTCAATTCGGAAACGGTTTAGAAATTAGATCCTCTATAAGTGCCTTTAAGATCATAGACGATTTTTTACGCGATCAGTATACAGCATACAGTTTTCTCATGGACCATGAAAGTAAAGGAGATCCCGATTGAGACAGTTCTTTACGCCTCCTATTTTGCTAGCCCCCTTTATTTGTAAAAATCAAAATTTGTGGTCCCATGCCCCCCCCCCCCTTGCAGTCATTTTCATCAGTCTCAACTCCTTCACCTTCACTGTTTCTTTGTTACAGCTGACAGATGAACGATTGAACATTGAACTATTGAGAATTCAACCATTCAAAATATCTTGTAAAATATCTGGAACTTGAACGATTCATCACTCAACATGTCCCAGTAAGTAAATAACTTCATTTTAAGAAAATCTCAGAGAACCCGTAACCTTTACAAGGGTCGTTCAAGGAACACTGAGGCTTCTCAGCCATTATGAAATCCATGCGCACTTGGCCCTCTTTCGTCATTTGAGTCTTAACTAGAATACCATACAGGGTTATCCAAAAGTCACCTACCACCCCTGTAACTTTTTTCCTAATTGAGATAGAAATTTGAAACTTTGGGAATGTTCCTCGGTTTAAGGTAGCAACTTTATGGACCCCCAAAATTTTGGGGGGCGGCCCCCCCTAAGGGGGGAGGGGGCTAACTTTTTTTTTTCAAATGGCAACCCCCGTTTTGTGATACCTCATTCGAAAGATAAAGAAAAAAGAAAAATTTTTAAGCAAACCGCAGGTCAAAATATTGATTTGTGACAAAATGGCGGCCGGTCAAAGTTCAAAATGGCGGAAATTTGGCATCTCCGTTTTTTATCGGCGGATTGGTCTGAAACTCAGAATCCTCGACTTTTTCGGGACGAGAAAAGCAATTCTGCCATTAGTTTTCCAGAAATGTCAGTCCTTTTCAAAATGGCGACTTAGAGCGGGAAGTGGATATTTAGGCTGCTTATCGTCAGATTTGTATGAGACTTGGTATCCGGCGGTATTTTGGCACGAGAAGAACGAATCTTTCATTGGATTTTTGAATTTTTTAAAAACTTTAAAATGGCGGCAAAAATGCAAATGGCGATGGTGAATGCACAATTTCCTGTTATTTTTCCACCACCATTTTGACGATATTCGGTGTTTCAAAAATCTAATGAAAGATTAATTTTTTTCGAGCCAAAAACCACCAGAGTATTGACTTTGGTGCAAATCCATCGGTAAACAGCCGTGATAAGGATTTTCCGTCAATTTTTCGCCGCCATGTTGAAGTTTTTAAAAATTCAAAAATCCAATGAAAGATTCGTTATTCTCGTGCCGAAATACCCCCAGAAACCAAGTCTTATACAAATCCGACGATAAGCAGCCTAAATATCCACTTCCCGCTCTAAGCCGCCATTTTAACTGCCGCCATTTTGAAAAGGACTGACATTTCTGGAAAACTAATGCCAGAATCGTTTTTCTCGTCCCGAAAAACCCTGAGATTCCGAGTTCCAGACCAATCCGCCAATAAAAAACGGAGATGCCGAATTTTCCGCCATTCTGAACTTTGACCGGCTGCCATTTTGTCAAAAATCAATATTTTGACCTGCGGTTTGCTTAAAAAATTTTCTTTTTCATTATCTTTCGAATGAGGTATCACAAAAGGGGGTTGCCATTTGAAAAAAAAAGTTAGCCCCCGCCCCCCTAAGGGGGGGGGGCCGCGCGCCCCCCAAAATTTTGGGGGGACCAAAAAGTTGCTACCTTAAACCGAGGAACAATCCCAAAATTTCAAACTTCTATCTCAATTAGGAAAAAAGTTACAGGGGTGGTAGGTGACTTTTGGATAACCCTGCAATTTGCATGCATAATTTTGCCCCCCTACTGTAATCAATGCTTTCAAAGTTGAGTTTTAAATTCAGGGAGATTCATATTTTGGACATTCAATAGCCAATCCCATGACATAGAGGTTGAGATTTTCAGACACCGCAAACGAGATATATGATTGCCGACTTACAGCGTTGAAATGTTACTGTAATCATTGTCAATTACTCCACCTACTGGAAGTTTAAAAAATTCTTCATCAAGTCAATTAAAGACTAAAGAGCACAATTAAAGACCCCTTCAGGTGTCTACTAAAAATACCCAATGAAATTCATCTGTTCATGTGAAGAATATTAAAATTCTTGCCAAAAACTTTCCTTGTTTGTATTGGAATGTATAAATATTTCCATGATATGTAGCAACACAGCGTTTGACTGCAGTAGCAAAGAATTTGATGACTACTTGTTTTTACTTTTCAGACAGCGCAACTGCGTCGCTCGCATCTAGTTCAGTCTCCGCAAACCATTCGCCTCGAGCGATGTAGTTTATAAATAAAATTATGTATTTCCTCCTCTCAAACTCGGTTGTTGAATTTAATTTTCCATAACAGCCTTTAGGTTATGGGCCCAGCATACGTCAGACACTCTCGCGATTCGTGTGTGAAAACATCGGTCGTAGCGCAGTTCGTTCGGTCGTGGTTGGTGAAAATTTGGTGAAAAATGAGCTGATTCGGTATTGATTCGGATAACGAGATAACGATCTCTAACGACTTCGATATACACGATTTAGCACTTTACGTACTGTTCGTGATTTTGGTCTTAGTGCTGAGTGCAATAATGATATACCAAAAGTGCAACAAGCTGAAGAGGAGAACCCAGGACATCGAAAGACGCTTTGCAGAGTATCAAGCTTCCCGGTGTTAAATGTGTCAACGAATCCTCGCAAAAACATAAACACAACATAATAGTGACTGCTTGCCTAGCAGAAAATAATAATAACGATAACTACTTGCTCAGTAGAAAATAAAAATAACGAAAACACAACATAATAGTGACTGCTTGCCTAGCAGAATATAATAATAACGATAACTACTTGCTCAGTAGAAAATAAAAATAATGAAAACATAATATAACGGTGACTGCTTGTTTAGCAAAAACTAATAATAACGAAATTACAAAATGTCTACTAAACTCGAAACAAGTAAACTGAGGGCTGTAACCCGCCTCGAAGGAAAATCGAACTTCCAAGACTGATTGTTCGACGTTGAAATATTCTTCGAAGCTGGTGGACTTTGCCAAATAGTGAAAGGCGAAAAGAAGAAACCGGTCGCAGATCCACACGAGTGGATAAAGAAAGATGGACAGGCTAAGAAGATTATCATATCTACGATTAATAAAAGTGTTCGAGGGAACCTCAAAGGGTGCGCAACGTCACACGAAATGTGGAACAAACTTGAAAGTGTCTATGGTACAGGCGGGGAAGAGCGGGAAGCTCGCGTGCTGGAAGAGTTCTATACGGCTAAGCATGAAAAAGGACATGATGTAAACACCCACATCAGCAAACTAGAAGATATCTACTACAGACTGAAGCTTGTGGATAACGAAATTACTGAATCCTGCGTGGTATTTTCAGGAAATAGTGGAGGAAATGTATGTGGGAAATTTCACAGCCAATGCATAAAGTGATCGTACCAGTTGTGAGCACCCCAAGGAAAGTTTTGCCTTTCAAGTTCTAGAAAATCCTAGTTTCGATCAATCAACTTGCGTTTGTTTTTTGAATCCATTCCATATTCTTTTTTTTTCAAAATGTTTATTCATGTTTGGTCTTTGACTTGATATTTGACATCTTTGTCACTTTAGACGAAAGTTTGATTTTACTTGGCGTAAAAAAAAGTAGGTTGAAGCAGATTGGAAGTTTTTCCTGTTGAGAACTTTCTAAATATTCACGTTTTGCAATTGAGTCTTTTTTTAAAAAGGTGTGCGCTCGGTCAAATAATGGCTATAAAAGTTAAATATTGCGGAAAACCAGATAGAATTACTTGATGGTGCTTTCTAACTGTGTTACAATTCATTAAACTACAACAGAAATAGTCCGGAGGGAAGTCATACCTTTTCTCAAGAAGGTGCTCATTAAAAGAGAAGGTTGCCATTTGCCAAAATGAGCCACTTTTGAAACCAAGTCCTATCAAATATCGTTTATCACATTTTAATCGTTGCAAAAGTGGTTGAATGGTGTGTTAAAGTAAAGGCAAGAATATAAAGAAAATATTCCAGCACTTTAAAACGCAATTCACTGCCCTTCTCTTATTTTTTTAGAAGATTCTAATACGTGTGTTCCAAACTGACACCTACCTTGGGAATTTTTAAAACGGACATGTTTACCGTGTCATTAAAATAAATAGACATGTGATAAACATGTATTGACAATGGTTTATTTTATTTTATGACAGGGAGCAAGAGATTCTCAGGAAGCTAGTGTCCGTCCCTTTAGCCAAAGACTGGTCCTAGTGGAGTTAGGTCGAGCTTGTTTCCAAGACGCGTCTCCGGCCAGGAAAATGAAAGAATTTTTGATCGTTCATCAAGGAATGAAGGAAGGTCATCGAAATCCCGACACCCTTCCCGTGAAAGAACTCGTGCTTGTTCATCAAGAGATGGACAGAGGTCCTCAAGATCCCCAAACACTTCCCGTGAAAGAACTCGTGCTCGTTCATCAAGATCTCCACATACCCGTGACAGAATTCTGGATTGTTCATCAAGAGATGAACAGAGGTCCTCAAGATCCCCAAACACTTCCCGTGAAAGAGTTCGTGCTCGTTCATCAAGATCTCCACATACCCGTGACCGAATTCTGGCTTGTTCATCTAGAGATGAACAGAGGTCTTCAAGATCCCCAAACACTTCCCGTGAAAGAGTTCCTGCTCGTTCATCAAGAGATGAACAGAGGTCTTCAAGATCCCCAAACACTTCTCGTGAAAGAATTCCTGCGTGTTCATCGAGGTCCAGTATTAGTCAACAGCATGAAGGTTCATTTCGATCTTCAGTAAGAATTACTTAACTTTTTTCTTATTCATTGGTTCTTTCTTTCTTTCTTTCTTTCTTTCTTTCTTTCTTTCTTTCTTTCTTCCTTTCTTTGGGTAGCATATTTTTAATTGTTTTTTATCTTAGGGGCAGTTTATTCTGGTTCCTTTGAAAAAAGTTCATTTTCACAAAGTTATTTAATCTGCATGCATTTTGATTGATTGAATACGTAAGTTTAAAAAGTGCCCGATTTCAAAAATTTGTCTCAGTGCAGGAAAATGATCTTTGGGCTCTGATGCAAATACTGCTTCATTTATTTATTAGAATATTTTAATCTTCTTCTGTCAGGGTATGGCCCAAATTTTCATCTCCCTCTTCACCCCGAGCCTCAGACCCATTTAGGCCAATATTTTGCATGAAAAGAGTGTTTTTAAGCAATTTTGAGAAATTTAAGGGGGTAAAAAGCCATTTAAGGGATATTAAAGCGACATTTTTAGGCTTAGGAGTCCTTTTCAAAGGCGTAAAAGCCCAATAGGGAGGCCCCAACCCCAATCCCTCTCCCAAACAGATAAAGATTAAAATCTTTGTTAATTTATACTTTCTTCATGCGAATATATGTACCATCTTGTTTATTTAATTTTTTGTAACTTCAATAACATTATCATAAATGAATCTTGATAAATTTGGAAAGCGCCCAACTCGGGAGTTTTTAAATCGCTCATCTTTTCTTAAAATTGAAAGCCAAGGGTGTGTTCTGAACCATAAAAACCCTAAAAACATCCTGATAGTACTTTGCAAATTTTTATCCTTACATTTTGGAAGTTTCACCCAGACCATGTGCTCTTTCGGTTTGTTCTTGATATGTAGATGTTTGCTTTATTTCTAATTCCTATTTTGTTTTTTTTTTAGGGAGGAGATTTACTTTCCGATGGAAGAGTACCTATGCCATCGTGGATGTTTCTCCCTGGTTCAAATTCAAAGGTAAGGATCTCAAAAACCATATTCAGTGTATTTGATTTACTTAAATCAAGTACATGTTGTGATTTATTAATGACAAAGCTCTAAGCTTTAAAAGGGTAATGACAGGTACTAGTTTGCTTTATTTAATAGTTAGTTAAATTTTAAGTCCATGAGGAAAATAGGTAATGAATTAATCAAATTCATGAATTTCATACACACTTTTTTTTAAAAGAAGTGTGGATGGCAGCACCTATGTTTTGACATTCAGCAAAATCAACAGATTTAGGCGTAGCCAAGGCACTATAAAAACTCTTCGGAAAATATTAGGCTTCTTTGGTGCACACGCATTTTTTGATGAAAAATCCATGAAGAGAAGGTGTAAAGCTGCTCCTTGTAACTGTGGGTGATTCATTAGGTATATAGTTAATCTATTTATTTATTTTTTTATTTGTGACCGTACACGAGAAAACGGACCTTAGTCCACGGGGGAAAATTTTTCAGGAGAGCAATTTTTGTTGAGTTGGGTCTAAAAATCTGGATTTAGGTTTTTGATGGAAAACAATCCCCAACATCCCAAAGAATGAGTTAAAAGTGGTTTTATTCATTTTTGTGACAAGGAATATCCTGAGAGAGTATGAAAGAGTTACTCACTCTGCATGTTCACCAAGTAATTTCAAAACTTTAAATAGCTTTTTCTCGAAACTACGTTTTTCTTGCACCGCCAACTTCTAAATTTCATGACTCCGGTTTGGTTCAACTTTTTTGGGCGTTCTTTGGCCTAAAATGCTCCTAGAACCCCCCTCTATCCAGTGGTGGCAAAAAATCAATTTTGAGTTTGGGTGAACTAAGGTACCTCTTCCGTGGACGGTCACATTTAATCATACTTTTTTTCGTGATTTTTTTGTTTGGGGTTGACATCATCTCCTGGTGTCAAGCTGATGTCAGCATGAAGCACCGTGTCTGTCGTCTGACACTTCTTGGACCCTGTATTAAGTGCTAACACGGAGCTTGACATTGGGAGTTGAAATTGACCCTTAGCGGAAGGATTACGTAAGGGCATGCTTCGTCCCCCTTCAAGGCTCTACAGACAAGCTCAGTCCTTCTCCCTCCCTTTAAAGTGTGTCATGTAATAATTGAATGGCTCTTAAAGTTATTGCAGCCAAAACAAGTGAGGCCTTGTTTGTTACTTCTGAGTAGCAGTGGAGAGGGAACTGAAAGGTTCAGTCTCTCCTTCCCTCCCCCGAGCCCAATGAAAAGGGAAAGAAGAGGAGAGGAGAAAGAGGGAGAGAGAAAAGAGGAAAATTGGATGGGAAAAATGAAAAAATATATTTTTTGATGGAAAAACAACAACACTAGAAATTAACAGTTTTTGAGTCCAAGTTCCAAAAATTTTGTAATATGGTCCCATAGATTTTCCACAGCAGTTTCAAGCATGACTATTTCTGGGAGTCTCTGCTGTTTACCTATGCAACAAGCTTCAACATAGTGTTTCTATTGGAACAAATACGGTATAGAGGCTCAATTTTTATACTTCTTGGGTGAAATTTTAAATTTTTCTCTTAGAAATTAACCAGAATTCAGGGTTTTCTGAGCACCAGCTTCTAGAACATTCTCTGTAGAAATGGCTCCAAATTGCATCCAAAAGGCGAATAAAATTTTCAACATTTTGCAAGGGAGACCTCCCGAATCCACCCGCTTGACCCAGGAGTATGAAAACCTCCCCCCCCTCTCCTCCTCAGAGCAAAATCCTGCACAAGCCACAGTTGGGTAGGCTTACGTATCTTATTCCAAACTTCCATTCTACGTAAAATGAAATCTTTATTTTTATTATTTTTGTTTTGTTTTCAGAAGTGTAGAAATTTATCTAACCTTCGAGCCACGACGGCTCCTCGTCACTGTGCACCGAGGTTATACACATTTAAAGCAATCCTGCTGGCGCAAAGAAATAAGCGTACCAAACTAAGCCGAGAAGAAGAAAGGTTTTATGACAGTTGAGGACTGATTTTAGACGTAATACACTTAAACAAAGTTTGGACGGAGTCCCAAGTCCTGGACCATTTAGAAAATGAATTTCGAAATCAACTAGAAGGATGCAGCATAGTAGACATTCTGCAGCCTGGCAGTGTGGGACAACTTAGACGTGTTCATGTTGGAAGTGGGATAGAACTGACGGCAGCAAATTTGTATTCAACTTTGAAACAGAAATTAATGTATTTAGTGCCAAATGAGGATCTTTTTCCTGAAGAAGCTCCGGAAGAAGAACGTACACGAGATTATGACTCCTCAGCCTCTGAAGAATTCCAGTCGGAAAGTTCTCCTGAACGATCAAAATCTGTACGCTCAACATCTCCTGTAGGAACAACATCTCCTGAAAGATCCGTCTCACCTGAACGATCACCCAAACAATCAGCTTCTGGAGAAGGGCAACGAGCGCCGCAATCACCGCCACGACCAGTCTTACCTCCATCTGTTGAAGCTGCAACTACCCTGAGAGAAGTCCTTGATGGGTTAGCCAGTCAGATAAATTCAGAAGATAAGTTCCAAGTGATGGTCAGTAGAGATGAAGGTGTGTTCAAAGTAGTCGGCTCTTCCGCGGCAGACTATTTCCTTCCTCACCACAAAGCAGACTTTCACAAAAAGTTACAAATAACTTTTGACTCGGAACTCGGACAAGATGGAGGGGGGTTAACTAGGGAATTTTTTCAATTAGCCGTTAATGAAATTAAAAAATCTTCCCTCTTCTTGGGAAAGGATAAAGAAAAAATCATCAGAAATAATACAATGGCGGAACTATACAGCAAATTTTTCAGCGCAGGTGCCATAATGGGAATGGCTTTATTATATGGATGTTCCTTCCCAGACTACCTCTGCCCGACTCTGACCGAGAGAATTTTAACTGGAACCGTTACAACACCAACCATTTATCAAATACAGAGTGAACAGCTGCGCAAAGAGCTAACTTGCCTAAAGGCAGCAGGGACAACGGAAGCTGCAAAGAAAGTGATGATGGAGTCCGAGATACTGATTTCGAATGGGTACAGCGAGGACTCCTTTCAAGACCTGAGGGGTCGAGACACAATGATCGATGGTAAGTTGTTTCAAATTTAGACGTAAGTATGTGACCACCAATTGAAAATTTGACTAGTAAGCTTAGCTTTGCCAAAAAGGCTGAATCAGGGTATCTGATGGGTTCAAAAAGTTTGTAAATTTGATAGCTGGTTAGGGAGGTCAGGAAATAAAAGCAGCTGACAGCTCAATTTTTTTTTTCTTTTGAAACTTGAAAGTAAATTTTTTGATTTGCAAAACTATCCAATTTTCAGGAAGCTTGGCACCATTCTTTTTAGATGTTGATCACATCTAATTGTGCATCCAAAACTTAAGAAAAAATCAGAAACGTAGTCAATTTGTAAAAAGAATCGTACGTAGCACATCTCTAATGAATTAGTTTGGAGAAGAAAATTCTTCACTTCGAAGCATAAATTCAAACAGAGGGCTTATGTGATTTTAAATTAATAGTTACATGTAATCCTAAACATAAAGAACCGTCCCAACTTTGGGTCTGAAGAAAACCCCTGTAAGAAACTAAATTTTCTTGTAGAAAATATTTTGATCCTGTTAATTTTTTATGGCAAACTTTCTTCAACCATATTTAGCAAAAGTGTGGTGACTTAAAGTCTGTTAATTAGACTAGCGGGACTGTTCCTTCTTTCTTTGATCCACTTTTTAAAATCATTTTTGAGAATATTGGAATGCTAATGTTCCATCCTCCGACGGAAATTGGCAGTGAGGTCTTGATGCTTTCCTCTGTTATGTAAAAATGGACTGACTGTATCAGAAGTGAACCAATCCACATTTTCAAAAAAGCCGAGTAATAAGTGGTTTCAGACTTGAGTAGTTACTTTGCCCTACCAAAATATAAATTCCATGGAAAATATTTAGTTTGTGTTTATAAGTCATTTGTTACATTGAGCTTTACACGGAAGAAAACTGAACGCAATTTTCTCTGTTCGAAATTTATGAGCATTGGTTTCCTTCTAATAAGCTCAACTCAGTTCTAAAAATCTAAGAGGAATTTGTAAGGCAATAATTTTGTAACTCTTCAAAACATACAAAATAAGTAATGTTCTACTGTCATGTTGGACTTAGCTAACTAAAAGTTATTTTCTATCCTTCATTTTAACAGGGATTCTTCATCATCATTGCATAAATAAAGTCGAAGATGCGACAAATCAATTCCTCGATGGGTTGGCAGTGCTGAGTGTACTACCAGCTACGCGCCTCCATCCCGGCCTGTTCAGACCGTTGCTTTCTAACAACGTACAGAAATTGAATGTGAACAGCTTTTTACAAATTTTTAATGTTCAGCGGTCAGCCATGGGGTCCATCCCGTTCACAGTTGAGGAAAGGATTTGGCGGCGCTTCATTGAAACTCTTCAAAAGATCGAAAGTGAGTTTGAAAGCACATCCTTCTTTTAATTATTGGTTTTGTAAATGTGGGAAAAACCATCACTTTTAGTATGCCAGTAGCGTCAACGCTCTTCTTTGCACATTGTGGAGCTGATTTCATCTTGCAATTTACTTGGACAAAAAGGAATGAACTCTGTGGCCATTTTTCTCATCGTACACACAGGCGTTCAAATGATTCTTGATTGCGGCTGTGTGCAGATATGCTGTGAAAGCCTGATGAAAATTGTGGAATCTTGCCTACTTACAAGAAAGTTTTCAATTGTGTTAGTTTTTTTACAAAAATCTCACTGATTTTGGAAGGCATTTTGGCATTAGGTTATTTGTCTTTAAGATGACGGTCTGAGAATCGAAAAACGGAATTTGGCCAGCAACCCTTCTTCTTGTTACCTGCATGTACATGTCAAAAGTGTATTTGTAGGAAGTCAAATGTTTATTATTTGATAAATTTGTACCTCTAGCTTAACGAGACAACTGCCTACTTCCAGCGTTACATAGAATGGTAACGCATGAATTAGTATTTTGCAGATTATTTTTGTTCAAACTATACATTATAAAAAATAGTCAATGGTATCTAATTAGGACTCAATCCTCAGAAATGGAAACTCACGTCTCGCAAAGCAACACTTCCCTTTTTGGGTTGAACTCCCACTGGATGGGCTCCGTGAGGATCGAGTCTCGCCCTGAAAACTTTGGTTATTTTTCCCATTGTACTATAACTGTTTTCTTTTACCTATTTCCTGATTGTTGCAGATGTTGAAACTTCCATAGAATTAGAGGATATTCTTGTCTTCTGTACTGGACTAGAAAAGGAGCCTCCATTTGGATTCCCTAGTCGACCTGAGATCCTTTTTAATCATAGAAATCCTGCTCAAAATTACCCGGAAGCTGGGGACTGCAACATGACTCTCACCTTACCAATTAAGTACAAAGAACCCACTCAACTTGACATGTTTTTGGGACAATTCATTTACGGGATCACTGAAGGACGTCCTTATGGGGTTGCCTAAGGACGTTTCTTCAGTGATTCTATAGAGGGGAACTGGTTATGGGTGGATCACTTTTTCTCTTGAAGGAGCTCCAAAAACCATAAATTAAAAAGAAAAAATTTGATCCAAAAGACCGATAAAGGTTTTTTGATCATAAGAAAAACTTGAAAGTGTAAGAACCGTCCAAAAGAACGTGGTGCAGTAATGATAAAAAGTCTCCCCCTGGATTTCCTTGAAACTTTTGTTTTTGATTACGCATATTAGGATTCGTCTTTATCAGTTTCAAGTCCCCCAAATAGTCAGTGGAAGCCTAAAGCAGGGGGAGTAATGTTTGTGGCTCATTTTCAGTCGCTCATTTCTCCTTAAGTAAACAGTTCTCAGAAATCTACAACCATTTTTGTTCACTCACTATTTGACGGAAAATTTTAAAAACAGGTTCTTAACAGCATCAGGGGAGAGGTATTTTGTTAATAAATCTTTTTGCATTTTACCTCATTTTTAACAACTCATTAAACCTAGAAAAAACGGGATGGAAAATACAACATGCATTTTTCCTCTGAATTATCTTTTTGATAATATTTTTAAAGGATTTTTCATGCAAAATTTAACTCTCCATCTTTATCTGTATTAAAGACATTACATTTATAAGGTTTCAGCCCCCCCCCCTCCCCCATGCCTCAGGCTCCCCCTAATGTTTCGAGGGACCTTGAACTTTGGATAAAGAGGTACCCTAATATGCGCAGTAAAAAATGAAAGTTTCAAGGAAATCCAGAAAGGGGACTTTTTGGTGTTTTTGCAGCACATTTTTTTATAGGTATATAAGTGGTAGAAAACACCAAATTCAATAAACCACAAACATAAATAGTTTATAGTTAATAGTATATTTAGAAGGCCTAAAGAGTAGTACAAAATATTTGCCATTGGACAAAATCATCTGTAGAACATGAGTTTTGAAAGCAATATATGGTGAAATGGAGCATAAAAATGGTTTCTTGTGAAGGATTTTAGGCCTTCAAATGTATTGCTTGTGATGTGCTGAAAATGGTGCTTTTTCGTAGAAAAGTATTTCTTATTCATGAGAACACCTGTTATATTTTATACTTTACCACTACTGACTCAAGTTTTCATTAGTTTTCACTGAGCTTGAGAACATAATTTTATAAACTTTCATACCTGTTTTTTGCACTCAGATAGTGCTGAGAAAAAGCTTCTTCTGCTATTTCTACTGTTGAGTTTTTCAGGTAAGTCTAAATTTTATGTCGAGAATAAATTTTTTCAACGTGAGATTGAATCATATTTGAAGCATCACAGCTGTGGGTCAAATTAAGGTTGTTCATGTCCAGAATAATGTCGCTTTTAGTCAGATCTCCCTCAAGTGACCAGTTCTCTCTTTTTACGTTTTCATCTTCAGTTTAAAACTCTCGGTCCAATTGTCTCTTCCCCGAAGGAAAACACCATGCTCTTTAGTATTGTATTTTTATTTATTATATTTTATTTTATTTTCTTTTATTGTTATTAAGTTTTATTTTTCATTTTTGACAAGGAATCCCCCACCTCTTGGGGGCACTATCTTTTGAACACTCTATTTTTGTGCATCACTTTTCTGAATTGCATTCGCCAATATGTGATGCGATCAGGGAAAAGGGACCATTAGGTGCTTTAACTCATGAGCCTTAAAATAGGTGAGAATGCATGAAACAATGTGCTCACAAGTTAATGCACCTAAGGTCCCTTTTCCCTGATGGCATCACATATGATTTTTCATTTTGTTTGCCATGAGGTTCTGGATCTATATTTTATAACCATTTTGAAAGAATTTTTGTAACATTAAATTTTCAAAAGAAAAAAAAAACCAGCTGCAACAGGTATCTGGCTCAAGCTATTACAAAGATTTGTAAACACAAGCTTTGGTTGAAAACGAATTCTCCTTGTCATGATTAATTTTTGTTTATTTTCTTTGTGCTGAATAAAGCCATAATGTGTTCCAAAATTTTGTTAATTATCAGTGTTAAAAAGAGAGTTAATATTCTGCCTCTTGCAAACTTGTCGTATTATTCATTTAACTTGTTTATTCTTTTCCTAGACGCATATTTTGTAAGTTGAGTAACATTGACGTATTCCTCAGTCTTTTACATTTTTTTATGATGTACTTCTAAAATGAGTATCACTGAAAAATAAATTCTTCATTTTTTCCCATTTTTTCCTTGAGAAATTCTAATGAATATATTTTTAACTTGTTACGAATTTTTCCCAGTGTTTAATGTCCTAGATTACTCATATTCTTCATTTATTTTTTTATTTTTTTTGCCCAGTTATTAAAGATTGGAAATTCTTCTCTCTATGAACTGATTTAGTATTTATTCTTTGATGGACTTCTGTAAGAGTTAAAATTCCAAATTATTCCTACCTTGTTTATTTTGTTACTTTGTAGAAACAACATGGTTGCTACTTCTGATGAGAGAGTAAAAGTGAAATTTTTATCATGAGGTATTTTGCTTTTCATGAAAATACTGGAAACTCGGTATCTCAGCGGGCCGATTACCGAGACAAACGGAGCCTATGTCGTGGCCTGACACAGGGATCGACTTCTTTGTGTCCACCTACTTTAGGTGGCGACAGTATGTCTTGTCGTACGACATAGGAATAGACTAGGCTCCGCTTGTTTTGGTAATCGGCCCGCTGATCATGAGAGTTACTTATTCATTCATTTTATTTTTAAGATGTGCATCTTGTTGTATTTGAGCAAACAGAAACAACTACTGTTGACTCCCTTTGTAATTGGTTTCTTTTTACTAACACACTTCAATTTAAGTTTAATTTGACGAATAATTGTAGGTTTGATTGCCTTTGGAATTCATAAGGAGAGAAAGCTTTAATCGACTTGTCGGTTACTAAAAGGCCCTATTTCATTTCTCAAATCATAGGAGTTTCCTATTTTTTTTTTCTAAATGTACCCCTATCATTTTTCTAATGAACCAACTTTTTCTGTATTCAATTATTATTATTTTCCTAACTCCCCGTACTTGGTTTTTAGAGACAAATTTATTCTTTCTATCAAGTACTTGACTATTACTGCCATTTCTTTCACTTGATTAATTATTTTTAAAATACAATGATGATCTTCAATAAAATTTTGTTGTTCCGTCATCTATGTAGGTATAATTTCGATGGTGAAAGTCCAAAAACATGTATCTTGATTCGCAATATTGCAGATTTCTATTGACATATTATTCTTTGAAAGAAAAAGAAACCTATATTTTTCCTTGAAACTTCCCCTGGCTTTTTTTCATCCTACTCTGAAAATTCTCTGGAAATTTTAAGGGATATTGCTCATTAGTTCATCTTTTAAAAAATAAAAAAGGGCGGATATTTTGAAACATCGCAATCAAGATACGTGTTATTGGACTTCCACCATCGAATTTATGTTTATAGTCACAGAAACTCATACAAAGAGATGGTTCATGGATTGTGCAACAGCTCCAGTTCTAAAATGGTATTTTCGAAAAATAAGAAAGTCAATTTTTCCCACCGAAAAAAATGCACATTCTTTCAGTTAGGTAGGTAAATTATTTTGTCAAATAAACTATTGTAACTACTCAATTCTATGCACATAAATAATTTGTTTGACAAAATAAAATACTTGACCAGAAGAACATGCATTTTCTGGTCTAAAAATTTATATTCTTTTTCTTCCTCATCCGTAAATACCATATATGGATTAGAGCAGTTATGTAATTCGTGAAATCTTCCTCATTTTCAAATTTTCATTTGCCATTAAACTGCCATCGCCTTGCTAAGGCGCAGGGCTACAACTATTTGAACACTTCGGAACGCGTGAGGTATCACGCTTCAATTGAAGGCGTTTTCGAATCTTCTGTATTTACAATACGAGACTTTCCAAATTTGTTTGCATTATATTGTCGAATTGAGTTCCTTTTAATAATTAGTTAAATTATTCCTGCTTCTTAATTTTTAATTATTCTGCAAAAATTATCTTTTAGCGAAATACAATCATGGCTTTAGCGCCCTTATAGTCCGGCCTTAACCGTCGAAACCGCAGTGGCGGCACAGGAAAGCTGAAAAACAACGTGAGGACGCTACTTCAATATTTAACTTCCATCCCTTGCTAAGGCGCAGGGATACAACTATTTGAACTCTCCGGAACGCATGAGGTATCACGCCTGAATTGAAGGCGTTTTCGAATCTTCTGTATTTACATGACGAGACTTTCCAAATTTTTTGCATTTTATTGAAAATTTGAGTTCCTTTTATTATTTAGTTACATTACTCCTACTGCTTAATTTATAATTATTCTGCATAACCTATCCATTTGCGAAGTACAACCCTGGTTTTAGCGCCCTGAAACTACGGCCTGAAAGGTCGAAACTGCAGTAGCGGCACAGGAAAGCCAAAAAACCAAGCGGGGGCGCTGCTTCAATATAAACTTCCATCGCCTTGCTAAGGCGCAGGGATACAACTATTTGAACTCTTCGGAACGCGGGGGGAGGTATCACGCTTCAATTGAAGGCGTTTTCGAATCTTCTGTATATACATGACGAAACTTTCCGAATTTGTTTGCATTATATTGTCGATTTGAGTTCCTTTTATTATTTAGTTAAATTTTTCCTGCTTCTTAATTTTTAATTTTTCTGCAAAAATGATCTGTTTGCAAAATACAATCCTGGCTTTAGCGCTTTTACGGCCTTAACGGTCGAAACTGCAGTAGCGGCATACAGGGGCGGACTGGTAGTCTAAAAGTTAGGAGGAGACCTAAATGTAAGGGCCCCTCCTGTCGTTTGGGGGCCCTCCCCCGGTAAATTTTGAAAATTTCACACTTTTGAAACACGTAGGCATTATTGGAGTTGGATTCTACAGTACTTGAACTTCAAAATAACCCATTCTCAGGATTCATCGGGGGTCCCTTTCATCACAAATGCTTTTGGCTACATTCTATGTCCCTTAGAGTCAAACTTTCAAGGAATTCGGGGCCTTTTTGTGATAAAAAAGGAAAAGAAAATTACAACATTACGGGAAAAAACGATGACTCGAAAAAAATTCGCCGCAGGGGCCCCTTCGGGACCTCCGCGGCAAATTGTTAGGGGGCGATCGCCTCCCCACCCCCATGGCCAGTCCGCCCCTGTTGGAAAGAAGTTGAAAAATAACTTGGAAAAGGAGCAAACCGTGCGAATGCAACTATTTCGGGTCCCAAGTTGCGAAATTGCATACCCTCTCTTTTGAAGGCGATTTGCCATGGTGCGAAATTAAGGGCCAGTTCCACGAGTGGGTTTTTTATTCGTTAGGTCGAGTTCGGCTGAGCGGTTTACCTGAGAAAATATTTTTATTCAGCCTCAAAAAAAGAAATTCTGAAGGAGCATCAATTTAGGAATAATCTAAAAAACTTATCACGACTTTTCCCGAGCTTTCATACCTTAAAATACGAATAAATCGGGTCACCCGAACTCGAGTGAAAGAATGAAAAACCCTAATCGTGGCACTGGGTCTTTAGAATATCAATGGTGAAAGTCCAAAAACACGTTTCTCGCTTGCAACATTTCAAAATCTCCGCTAATATCTAGTTTTTCACAAGAAATTCCTTGAAATTTTCAAAGAACTCTCTGCGTTTAATGAAGAAAAATGTATTCCTTCGGTAAAATAAAATGTCAGAAGAAATCTACAACGTCGCAAATTTACGGAGCAATTTTATCCGTACATCCAAATTCGAAATAAATTTTTAAAAAAATCAAGATCGGGTGAAAAAATCATAACATGAGATTCGCCTTTTCGGGATAAATATCGGATCATGGATGTCATATGTAAAATCCGAGGACGGCAAAAACGTAAGTTTAAATCAAATACGCCATCCGGATTTCGAAAATCGGACCTAAGATTCGGTTTTCCCGTCGAAAATCTGCACCCCCCCCCCCCCC